AGCGGCATTGAAAATGGGTGTTTGACTCATTGTCACAATTAAATTACCATCACAAGACTTACTGAATAGTTTGAAAAAAAATCAAGTTATGCTTATAATCGGACTTTATGCTATATTGAAGTTTAATTTCTTTTTCAGGACATATTTGTTTATACCTAATGATATGGAGAGGAAGGGGGTCGAGAGACATACAATATAGTGTAATTCTTGGTTATACTAAATAATAATGAGTAAAATAATCAGCTAAAGATAAAAAAATTATGGAAATTTCCAGCTATTGTCTGCACCAAAACCCTAACACGTGTCTGTCCTTTATGTACTAAAGTACTATGTGATTATCAAATTTCTAAATGTCTCGATGACTAACTGATAAACTGACCCACTGTCACCGTATGTCTGGGAAATGTGATAACTTGTTTGTGGCATGTAGATTTCACTTCTATTAAAATCAAAATCGACATTGATCAGTACTCTGGATTCCGGAAATAATTCTGAAAATAAGAATTACAATACAATTCAACAAGTTATATGTGTTAAACTATCAGACTTGGAGTGGTCTAGGAATAAGTTCATCTCTGGTGTGTTCTCATTAGTGCTGTTCATTAATTTTGATGAGGTCAGATCTCATAGGTCTGGTCCTAAAGTTCATTTCGACTCGTCTGGTCTCATCGTTGGAATACCTTTCTTTTTATCAATGGACATAATATCAGTCAATTACAATCAATTAATCAAAAATTCTGTGGAAGAAACCACATGACTACTACTGTATACATCATAACGGTTCTTTAAAACATTTCATTATTTAGTCAAACTGTTTTAAGTCCTGTTCTTGTTTATTATCTTCAGTTTTGAGGAATGTGTATGACGTCTTCATCTTCCATTTTATCCCGTTACAACACGCAGTATTAAAGTTATCCATTATAACAATGTAATCTTAAAATCTTCATTGCACAGAAGGCGTTTATATGAGATCGAAATATTAAATCATGTTATAAATAGAAATAAAGGCAAGATGAATATAACTTTGCCGTTGAAGTTTTAAGAATATATCAATAGAATTTGGTTTTCAGTGGAGATATAAATAGTAATATTAGTCACAGACAGAAACTTTTAATCCAGAAATGTATCATGCAGTCAGTCTTTATGTTTTAGAAGAAAATATAACAGTTTGTTATCAAGTTATAAGTTTGTGAAATGATGTAATAAATTTATTTTCGTACGAATGAAATGTTGCGGTTTTTTTCATGCGTTTTCATTTTCACTCAATTTCGTTTATAAATTTTCCTCAGTAGTACACAAGTACTAAATTTCCTGTTAGTTGTTATGTGTTATAAAATTATGGATTTAGAGTTCACACAAAATAAATTAAAATCAAACTATAGAAAATTGATTCAACGGTATTTAGAAAAAATCGCATAATAATCACGAGATAAGCATTGTAATTCATAATCTTGCACTGCTATACTGAGTAAACAGTTAAAACGCCTATGATACATGGCGGTCTTATGGTCGTGTATAGAGTGTGTTAAGTGGTTTTCGCAAAATTTTAAAATCTAGGCCCTACATACTTGCTATAATTCCATCAACAGATGAAAATTAATCGTCTGTTAAAAAACAAATTCTGAAAACGGAAACAACTTTCAGCATGAAAAAATATAGCAATTCAACGAAGGTAGCTGAGCGAAATTGTCAAAGTGACCTGTTGTAATATATCATAACTTCTGATTCAAACATATGACGTCATACAACGGGAGACCAATCACACACAAAGATATTTATAGATCAAAATTTATTGCATATTTAAGTCTACTTACCTTTGAACTGACAGCGTTGTTCACCTAGTACTTTGAACAAGATTCGACTTCCTTCCTGGTTGATTACGGATTGATATATGCTGACGTCAGATTACGACCCTGATATTGACTGATAATGTTACATTTATATGGTCTCACTTTACCTTATTCATCAGTTTATTCGACAAGTCTCCTCATGTAATATTGAAACTAAAAATCTCTTTGATTTCATGTCTTGATTCTGATAAATATCGGTCATTTTGACGCTTCTTTTTATTTTGTTTCATTTTATCACTCTTAGGATATGTTGCCTTGTTGATTTTGGTTTCATTATCTCCCGGACAAAAGGCACGTTTGGATTTACATGGTATGTAAAGTGTACGATCTATAACCAAGAATGGAGATAGTTACAGATGTCTTGAGGAAATGCTATACAGTCGAACTTCGAGCTATCCGAGTATTTAATTTAAGTAGTGAGTTAAAATGTGTAGTGTAAAAGTCGGGAATGACGGAATACTTCGAAGTAAACGGTGTCTTCGAGTTATGAGGGTTCGGAATAACGATGTTTGACCGTATAAGCAGTTGAAATACTTATTTCATTCATTGAGAAATATTATACCAATGTTGCAGTGGGGTTTACCTAAGGTAAGCGAAGCTGTGTGTGTTGCTGTTGATTATAATTAACATCCCACTGTCTAATCAGTGAATACCATTTTGACACAGAGGCTACAAAACTTTTGAGCAGAAAAGTCAGTTGACTTTTTTACAAGATAATTCTGAACAACAATAAAGCTCATGAAAGGATAATGAGATCATAACATTTTGCATAATCATTCAAAGGGCTCTCATAAATGCATGTGCCTCATTGGAGGAATACTCAAAAGTTGTTTGTTGGCTAGAAATTGAGTCAACTGTAGAGGAAAACTACACCAACTGCAAAACACGTATATCAGTCGTCTTCATTTAAGGACCATTATTAGATCTAATACTACTATGTATAACATAAAGAATAATGAACACATTGACGAAAGTGAAGGGAAGGCTCATTAAATGATGAACTACCCAAACGTTATGATGAGTTATGTAGGAAAAGAAAATTCAAAAGATATCAATGATGAATTTTTTCTCAGATCTTGCTCCTGATAGATTTCGAACATTTTAACGTTTCTCTTTATTTTATTTCTTTTTATTATTGTCAGGATTTTGACCGTTTTGCCTTGTTGATGTGATTGGTTTTGTGGTTTTAATGTCATGTGACATGCTCGTATTTTGTTGCCGGTCTGCTTCAGTGATTTCTATCAAATAAACCGCACGTATTCATATGTTTACACGATATATACACTGTAGTAACAAATTTTGCGTACGGTTAACCTGACAGTTCTGATAAACGTGTTTACGGGACACGTGTACTGTACATACGTTACTGATAACATTGCCACGCTATATTGTGCTCCCTAATACAACGTATTCAACTGAAAACACACTGTATTCGACAATCTCCAATAAAAACAAAGACAAAGAGTGACAGACACAGTATCGACTGCTCATTCCCACTTTGGTGCTGATTACCTTTGCCAACTCTTCAAAACATGTTCTTTGATTTGTGTTAAAGGGTTGATTTCGGGTATCCCAACGCTCGTCTGAAATCAAACAGAAAAGACGAAATATATTCATTTGGTACCTTTTTTTATCTATCTATATTCAATGATTTTTCGATAGGCTCTATTGCATATTCCGTATAATATTACAGAGTAGAGTCGATTTTTTTTGGCATATTTAAGCCATATGTTAGTGGGAAAATCTTAATATTCAAATAAAGGTTTTTGCATCACCAACCGTTAACAACAATCCTTTTCTTAAAATTAACATTTCTTTAAGGCATACAAATGCAACTATTTAACAGTCTGCTTGCTTAAGTACCTAAAATTTAAGATCTATGACATTATACAAATATTTTGTTCCAATATCATGATATGCTCTACTTAATCGCTATTCAATTATTCTTAACATTTGTCACGTGACTGAAAGAACGGACCATTTCCTGTCGATAGGTCTATCTTTGATATTTACATCGACGTAATTGCTCATAATTGAACATTGCTACAAATAAGTAATATACCATGTATGTTTCACGCATCGATCATCTTCTGTTCACGTGAACATACAGTAGGTATCTATGCATCAGGGTGGGTTTTACCAGCAATGATTAATATACAAACGATTTAATGTCACCATTGTCCAATTGTTCCCCGCGGCTGTGAAATCGAGGGTACACGTAGGTCTAAAATTTCTCATGCATAGGCGCATGCGAAATATGATTTATTTTGATGTAAATATGTATGTACAGTATAATGTATTAAGTGTATTGTCAAATTGAAAAGTGAACGAAATATTTGCATATTAATATTTTTGATGTGTAGGCCTTGATATCTTTATTTTGATGTAGACATGTATGCTTGATATATATTTTGCATTATATGTACATGATAATCACGTGCGTTGTACAAGTTTGTGTTCAATATAAATGTTTTGTCTTACAGGTGTAATCTGCCAGATGAAAATACTATGGTAGTGAGACGATCTAAGGTATACATCATTTTACTAACTTGGTCGGTTTTTATCTTTTTAAGGTCAGTACGTCTTTAGTATTCGTACTCTGCAGAAGATTACAATATACTTTTTCTACGGATATTAACACAACTCAAATTTCGTGTTTTAGTAAATGAATGCTCTTTAGGGAGTAAATATATTACCCCCTCAAAAATGTGGAAGAAAGGAGATTAATAGAGGTTTATTCATATTTTGCTGATGTTGGTTATTTTTTGCACACCATTTTCTATTACACACAATATTTTCCTGGAATCTGCATCTGAACAGAAATAGATCTCTATTACAGTATTTGCCTTCTAATGGATGTGTGTTTTTGTAGTCTCCATTTCGTGATAAAAGTGAATGATAAAAGCGATCCTGGAAAATAAAACGATTACAGAAGGTTCATTTCTGATCGACGTGACTTTCCTCGTGTGTAGAATTGTAAAATCACCAACTGTGTAATTTGGACAGTTAAAGCACCACTCGATTAACAAAATGACATGACAATAATAATATATTTCTCTAACTAAATCTTTTCATAATTTGATTGATATAAAGAGATTTATATGTGGTTGTGTATTGTTTACACCTGGTGTTATTTTTTTCATTTTAAAGTGCAAACGAACCCCAATATTGGATGATGACATAGGTACATCAAGTGTTTATGCTGTACAAGATACCGAAGATAAGGAGGTTAGTTTTACTAACCTGTTCATATCATTAGCATTTCTTATATAATATGACATAATATTATATAATATAATTTATTATAACATAATTCATATTTGCTTAGAGAAATAGCTCATTGATAAACCTTAAGTTTCATATCATTCTATTTAACAGGGGGCGCTATGTTCTGCTGTGGAAAACAAAGATGCGGAAAAGGTTCTTGATCTCCTTAAGCTCGGACATAAATGTCATCCGAACAGCAGAAATAAAGTGGTAGGTACTTTAACTGATTTTCCTTATTTCGATAAAAGTTTTGTCATATTTTTATCATATCAAGTATTCCATAGATCTGGTGATCTGGTGAATAACAAAGACACATGATTTCTAATGATTGACTTTTATAATCATACGAACTACCCTTCTCGAATACTTAGCTTTATTCTACTTGTACCTGTTCATAACTCTCCGTGTAAATCATTCTTTAGTTAATATGTTGTCCTAATTTCATATATTTTTTAATGAAGATTCTGTTACTTATCATTTAATAAGATGTTATGTCCTGAGGTAATGCACACAAATAAATCAGTGTCATTGATCGTCCGTTATTCTTCACGATTACTTTATCAAATACATCTATATATATATATGATCCAAACTATTGCACAAACGCTTAAAATAGAAACAAATCATAACGAATATCCAGAACGTGATTTCCTCCTCTAAAGTGTAAAAAGGACATATAAAAGAAAATAGCGGATTTCAGTACAAATTTAGAATAAGATACAATAGAGAAAAATAAAGAATAGGTCTTCTTCGTCCTTCTAGCACTCGTACGTGATGCTAGGAGCCTTCATTTTGAAACCAAATGAGCGACTAAGCACCCCTCCCCCCCCCCCCCCCCCCCCCCCAAAAAAAAAAAAAAAAAAACACGCGAAAAAGTCAGAAACTTGATGTAAAGGCGCAAAAGCGCCAAATTTCTATAAGGATACTATGGATTATTTAGATATCAGTAACCAGATTCACCTAAAACTCATGACGTTAAATATTAGTTTCCATGAATGAAAAACGAACGGATTAACTTTAAATTCAATTTTAACATATTTAAAGTGTTATTATACGATTTATATACGATTGATCAGATTCTTAATTGTTCGGAAAATATGTATCACGTATAATAGGTACATAAAGTACCAACGATTTTTAAATATGTCTTAATTGCCAAGCCTGACAAGAACTAATCTGACAAACATTTCCGTTATCTACAAGTATATTGGCACTCTGCGATATAGCCTCTCATTCACAAGTATAGATACACTCTAACATGACAATACTATACATATGAAGTCATTTAAGCGCCATGTTGATCAAATTGGTTACAACGCTGTGCACGTTTCCTCAGATACCACACATAAAACTTAAACACAAATTGTTTAGACCAAGAAAGTAAATTTAACGTCATTTAGTAGATATCGTAATATTTTAAAGTTAAATTTATTGTTAATATAAGTGTCAAACAGATAAATTACAATGCTTTCCTAACGGTCCTCTTAGTAAACAAAATCTAAATAATCTATACATCAGTACAAAATAACCTTATCTAATGGTTGCACTGATTACGACTTTACTTAATGGTTGTTATTTCGAAGGTATTACATTTAAAAATACAGCACTAAAATGTCTACTTCTTGCAGACATGTCTACATATAGCCTGTCAGAGAGGTTATTTGGATATCACACGACATCTTCTGGATAATGGATTTAACATTGGCGACTTGACGAAGGTAATCATTTTTGTTTTTTTCTAAACCTAAGTTAATTTTACCTATTTTGTTAATAACAGTAACAGTCACACCAACTTTTATTAATCCTTGTTGTTGATCCGGATGTAAGCACAAATGGGATTTTGATAAAGAAAGAAAACTGGATTGCCCAGAGTAAACTCACTTGGTCGGGCAGGTGACCCTATGTATTTTCATAAACATTCCCTGTGCTACACAGGGAATATTTTTGAAAATACCCTGTAACGCTTTAGGCTCATAAATTATCTTATTCCACTTAAGATTTTGTCAAATTGTTACTCTTCCTAATAATTCGTTTCTCCGTTTCTCTTCAATCTTTTATGCAAACGTTGCATATTCAATTTAAGATACTCAAAGTGTATTTTCCCTGGGGAAATCCAACAAAGGTTACCTGTTGTTATCATCGTTTAAATTATGTGCGGTTGTATTTGTTTCTTGGTCATATACATGTCATTTTGACAACGACAGTAGCTGAGTGCACTTGAATGATATATCACTGATTGCTTAAACTTATCAGTTAATGTCATAAAATGGGCTGTTCCCTTTGATGGAATTTATATAATCTATCCTTTATTTTGTGGGGTCTATATATGTTTTTCATTGTATAATACGATACAATATATATGTTTCTTTATTCAAGTGACTAGTGCAGACAATATAGATGTATATTTGACTTATATAGTTTGAAAAAAAAAAACCAGAATGAATATGAAAGTATAAAGCCAATGGTCCGAGAGCGTACAATTTATGTTATCGCTTTTTTTCATTTACTTATTATTCCATAAGATTATTCCATAGAGAACTTAACCAGTTGCAGAATACATTTTACTTTTGATGCTACTGGAATAGATTTGATATCAATTTCCTTGAGATATTCCTTTATATTTTGAAAAAATAACATAATGTAACATGTTTCAAAATTTCCTTGCCAGGATTATCGGACACCGCTTCATGAAGCCGTTGACCGTGGTCATGTCCCTGTGGCAAGAGAATTGTTGAAGAGAAAAGCCTCGACCGAGCTTAAAGATATAGTAAGTTCAACGTATAAAGCAAACATGAAAGCTAAGGTTACATGTGTTAAGCTCACCATTTTCAGATGCTGAGCTGTTCAACTTTGTATCGTGATCTACAGTCCGTCCCTCCGTCTGTCCTTTCACAATTCTTGTTATCAATGTTACTTATAAAGTACAGGAACAACAAAATGGTCGACAGGAGGCAGTATTTGATTTTGACAATTAAATTTTGTAAACACTTTTTCTTGAGGAGCCCAGCATAAAAGGCAGGAATTAAGTTTATCATTTTACTATTTCTAATAAAACAGTTTTTCTTACATTTCGTGTTCAGGTCTCTCTTAGTGTCTGATAGTATTTAGTATTTAAAATGACTAGAAATTCTAAAATTACTAGTAATTCTAAAAAATTCGAAATTGATGACAGATAGTCATTTTGTTACTGTAACGTAAACGTTTGTTCTCGGTTTTGTAACTACTTGAACGATTATTATAAAATTTGTATTTGTAAGATCCGTTAGGTCCCGGTATATTCACGTTTAACGTTACGACTGATTTGAAAAATAACATATCCTGTAGTTGATTTGTATATGCAAATGACTCTTAGTGGACTTGATGGGATTTTATCTTTCTTTATGAATAGGCTAATTCTGTAAAATTCGTAACCCTTTAAGATATTTTGTATAATTATTTAATTTAACCTTATTTCGTGGGAACTGAAATAAATGAACTTCTCAATTTTACTTGAATTAAAGCTTCCTGAACTGTAAAATATTATATATCTCTTTTTGACGAATCAACATTGTTTTCTTTGTGCTTTCTGGTGGAAGTATTGAATACAATTTTCAGTTTTTATTTCATTTTCTGGTACGACAACAATATAGTATGTTATAGAATTGTAAATGAAATTTTCTGAATTCCAAATAACATAACAAGAAAGTTTTATTTTCTTTTGCAAATGCAACACTGTGTTTGATTATCCGTTTGTTAGTGATGATATGGATAGATAATTGATTTGTTAACTTGTTTTCAGTTTTCTCACACCCCGTTGTTCATTGCCTGTGAGAATGGTGACACACAAATGGCTAAAACGCTGTTGCAATTCGGAGCAAACTTGCAGGCAGAAGATGCTGTACGTAAATAACTGTTCTGAGAGAAGTCACTTATTTGTTTTTCATCTGGAAACTGCACGGACATAACAAGTGTTGTGAAACAAGAAATGTATAGTTTTTAACTGGCCCTTGTAAAGCTATTGTATATGACAGTCTGTTTTATTCAATAATTGTTTCTTTACAAATAACTCATTTGATCTATATATAATAAAGATTATACACAAGACATGAAAAACCATTATTTTTCAAACGAAAAGATCAGAGCTAAGTTCAATAAAGCAAAATAATGAATCAAACTGAATCATAGAGATGTTTGGTTCGCAAAATTTCTGGACAAGGTACCGAAATCTTAATCTTTTCTCTTGTTTTAAACTTGAAATATGATATATGGTGTTTATTGTACATGTCTCAACAAAGAACGCGTGCATAAGATTCCTGAAGTATGCCTTGGCATCATGTTATTACAGATTGGCCAGTCGCCTTTACATAAGGCCCGCGCTTCCAGCATCATCAAGATCCTTGTTGAGAAAGGGATGAAAGTAAACACTAAGGTAAACAATTCGCTGTTAGAGTGAAAGCTTTCCTATTAGAAGATATTTATTTCTTCTATCATTATCCAATTATTCACGAATTCGCCAGTTGTTGGACTTGTTAGTTGTCTATTCGTACCTTTTCGTAGTTCATCCTACTTTTATAAAGGTTTGACTGATAAACTGTTAGGACATAGTGCTCTTTGATAAAATCGTGTTTTGCAAATATCACTTTATATTGATACCAGGGAGATCGTGGAAACACACCACTTCATTGTGCATCGAGCGATTACGACGCAGAACTTATTAAGACATTGTTGTCCTTGGGAGCGGATCCAACAATAAGGAATAAAGTATGAAATTTTTATCATCCTTTATCAAAATATTATGATATTGAACACGATACACGTATGGTTATAATACCCTCTCGATTCATGTTGGCTCTGTTGCACGCTAATCCAGCCCTTTCGCAACACTTGATGGAGGAATGGAGTCGTCGACACAGCGTTCTCTTCTTTATTTAGGAAAGTTCATCTTTCATATTCAAAATAGTTTTATGAAGTCTTCTCGATATAAATATTTACATAGAAGGGATCTTAAACGAGTTTCATTTCGAATGAGGATTTCATCGAACGAGTCTAGAATTATTTTGTTTTTCGAGTACAGGCGTGCAAAAAATAAAACTTCTGAGGCGAGTTTTATAAAACCACATACGAAATGCCAACATCAAAGCTACATTATATCACATAACTTAGAATAGATTTATCAGGCAAATGTGGAGGATTAAGTCAAACGGAGTGAACCATTTCGTTATGTCTTTTCAATTAAAGACGTCTTATTAGGATTTCATTGTTGATTTCAGAATGTCATAGCCAATAAAAACGCTCCATGTATATTATATACTAGTGCCTTATTTTAAAATATTACATTGGAAAACCCATGGGATAATAGACAGATTAATTGTATTCTTATATACCATAGATAAGAAGAAATATATTTACCAGTACTTTGAAGGAAAGAAAACCCTAGATAACCGTGTTTTTTTATATATATATTTCTCACGTCAACTAAAAAACGATTGGAATATAGATTATCGTAGCTTCATCGGAAATTGAATATACTTGTAAGGAAAATGCTTAAAAAAATGCAGCAACAGAATCTAGATTGGTAATGTTTCGCGTTCTGCAAGATCAATGTACAGTATGCTTTACTATTGTTGCGATCTAATTTTAAAGGATGGAAAAACTCCGAGAGATCTCGCAGAACCGCAGTCGTGGCAATCAGATCAAACGCCACTTAAATTACTGAGAGAAGCTGAATGGAGATTTGTTCCGAAAAACGCAGGTGATAAGGATGAGGACAAAGTAAGTAATGTTATTATGTATTATCGTGAGAAGACAAGCAAGTTATAATGAATATTTTAAAGTCGCGAAATGGCTTTATCTGTACTATAATCTATAGAACCCTAAATATTTAAAAAAAGAAATTTGAAAGGCAGCCATCAATTTAGGAAATAATACAAGAACATGGACTCAGTTCGTAGCCACGAAAAATTAAGAAAGTAGGTCGTCGCGATTGATTCTAGTGATTTATCCTTATTTCACATCACATAGCATTTGCTGTTAACTAATGATATTGATTTTTCGTCGACTATCTTTGACCAAGCATAAACGTTTGTGATTTTGCCTGATACACAAGGCTGTGTACCGATATTCACCACGTGTAAAGTATGTCAAAAGCAAAATTTCAAATAATGCGAATCCGTTTTAATGTTTCAGAATGAGACTGTAAAATCTGAAGGTGAAATTCCTCCGACAGGTATGTACTTATTATGGTTAGGTATACTCAATGTATGAATATCTAAAATATAGAATATTCGGGAGTAAGTTTTCTTGTATTTGAGATCGTGAAAAATATAGTCATTAGATTTTTTTCCCGCCACTGACCACGCTCGTTGAGTTTCCAAGGAAAGAACAAGTAGGAAATGAAATACCAGCTGTAATAAACATTTCTATGTACAAGATATTGGCGATGATATTATTACCAGAAAATTAATTTTTGTGGTTTATAAGTTAATTTAAGCAGATGGTTAGATAAGGCGGCTAGGGAATTCTGAGGGATCTGTAAATTTGATGTTTTCCCCGAAACGCTCACTTCACTTCAAACATTATGTAATTTATGACTAAATGTATTTTCAATTGTGTACTGGATGTTCGTTTGTATATACAGTCGAATCTCATTATGTCAAAGTTGACCGGGAACATGTAAAGTCTTCGAGCTATCCGAGTATTCGATATAAGCGAGTTCGAATGTTTAGTTTGAAAATGGCCTGGACCGACGGAATATATCGAATAAAGCGGAGTCTTTGTAATATGAGTTCGAGATAACAAGGTTCTACTGCATTTATGTATCTATTTGCGTGATGCTTGATTGCATTTTTCATGAAATGCAATTCAGTTTGAAACAATTGGAAATTGACTTCGCAAAACATTCGCAACGAATAAGATTAATATGTCATACCTGAATTTATCTTAAGACGTTCCTTGCATACAAAGCTATTGTTGACATTGTTTCAGCTAGTTTTATCATGTCGTTTATGATAAGTTGTTCATTTCAAGCAATTTGATCTTTACATGTAATCAAAAGTATTGGACAGGAGGCGTTGACTATTTAAGAATTTTCCTTAATTGATCCAGGAAAGACAACTCCTACATCTTGTATCTTACATGAGAATCATTAAACACCATCATGCTGTCATTTCTTCCTATCTATTTATTTTGTCCCTTTGAAATATGTTGAATTCCCTGTCTTATTGTGTTACCATCAGTTACCACCACAATGGAAAAGAACACAAAAGATAAAGAAAAAGTCGAGACACAGAGAGCGTCGAACAAACCACAACAAGAGGTAGACAATCTTTTTTCTTGAAATGTCGCGCAATTGGTGTCTGAAAATTTTCACTATCCTGTAGTATCTACATCTGCATTTTAAGTAATAGTACAATAGACACACGGCTTACTATAAGGACTATATCGGTACTTGATTATGTATCATACCTTGTATCAATTCACTTAGTACCCAATTAAATACAGTTTAAACTAACGCACAATCAAAGTTGATTATTATCTTTGCTCATATTTCTTCCAAATACAGGTAATTAATGTTGAAAAATTGGTCAAATTTTACACAATTTCTGTTTTAAGAATTAAAAAAAAAAAAATTATCTGACGCCTGGTGTTATCCCGTTGTGACGCGAGTGTAACTTTTTCTAAAGGTTAAACAACAAATCATATCTATGTTCAACACCTATCGAGAGAAATTCTACGTCTCAGATACAAATGCTAATATGATCATGCCTGAGTATTAATTTTCAAAGCGTACAGATCACTTGTTTTCAAAAGGCATCGTACTAGAACTGTTACCAATATTTAAAAAAGATATAATATAAAAGTACCTATTCTTTTAACTCTTTATTTCTTTAAAATATGTTTTTACAGAATATATCTGGACAGGACAAAAACAATCGACTTAAATGCCAAAGAAACAAAAAGACAAGCCATCAAACGGCTGCTTTTAAGCAAGAAAAGGCAAAAGCAGGTAAATTAAAGAGGAACTGTAAACGGATGTCATCACAACATTTCAGTTGTATTTGTAATGATATCTTTGCAGTAAACACTCTTTTCCAATAATTGGATTTAGGATAAAATTAACCGTAACATGATTTCGGATAATGTTTACTCTATCTTGATTTAGGATAATATTTACCGTAACATGATTTCGGATAATATTTACTGTAACATGATTTAAGGATAATATTTACTGTAACATGATATAGGGTAATATTTACTGTAACATGATTCAGGATAATATTTACAGTAACATGATATAGGGTAATATTTACTGTAACATGATATAGGGATAATATTTACTGTAACATGATGTAGGATAACATTTACTGTAACATGATATAGGATAATATTTACTGTAACATGATTTAGGATAACATTTACTGTAACATGATATAGGATAATACTTACAGTAAAATGATATAGGGTAATATTTACAGTAACATGATTTAGGGTAATAATTACAGTAACATGATATAGGGTAATAATTACAGTAACATGATATAGGGTAATAATTACTGTAACATGATTTAGGATAATATTTACTGTAACATGATTAGGATAATATTTACTGTAACATGATTTAGGGGAATATTTACAGTAACATGATATAGGGTAATAATTACTGTAACATGATGTAGGATAATATTTACTCTATCTTGATTTAGGATAATATCTACAGTAACATGATGTAGGATAATAATTACAGTAACATGATGTAGGATAATATTTACTGTAACATGATGTAGGATAATATTTACAGTAACATGATATAGGATAATATTTACTGTAACATGATATAGGATAATATTTACAGTAACATGATATGGGATAATATTTACAGTAACATGATATAGGATAATATTTACAGTAACATGATATAGGATAATATTTACAGTAACATGATATAGGATAATATTTACAGTAACTGATATACATAATATTTACAGTAACATGATATAGGATAATATTTACAGTTACATGATATAAGATAATATTTACAGTAACATGATATAGGATAATATTTACAGTAACATGATATAGGATAACATTAACTGTAACATGATATAGGATAACATTTACTGTAACATGATATAGGATAATAAAATGATTACAGTAACATGATATAGGGTAATATTTACAGTAACATGATATAGGGTAATATTTACAGAAACATGATATAGGATAATAATAAAAGTAACATGATATAGGGTAATATTTACTGTAACATGATATGGGGTAATACTTACAGTAAACATGATATAGGATAATATTTACAGTAACATGATTTAGGGTAATATTTACAGAAACATGATATAGGATAATAATTACATATATACATGATATAGGATAATATTTACTGTAAAATGATATAGGATAACATTTACTGTAACATGATATAGGGTAATATTTACTGTAACATGATTCAGGATAACATTTACTGTAACATGATTCAGGATAACATTTACTGTAACATGATTCAGGATAATAATTACAGTAAAATGATATAGGGTAATATTTACTGTAAAATGCTTTAAGATTCAGGATAATATTTACTGTAACATGAATATAGGGTAACATTTACTGTAACATGATTTAGGATAACATTTACTGTAACATGATATAGGGTAATATTTACTGTAGCATGATATAGGGTAATATTTACTGTAACATGATTTAGGATAACATTTACTGTAACATGATTTAGGATAATATTTACTGTAACATGATTTAGGGTAATATTTACTGTAACATGATTCAGGATAATATTTACTGTAACATGATTTAGGACACTATATACTGTAACATGATACGGAATGATATTTATATATAAGATGATAAATGATTTAACTCCAGAATTTCTAAATTCCATTTTGCCACATATTGTTGGTCAAGACATGCGGTATCCATTTCGAAATCGGTCCAACTTTTCAATTCCCAACTATAGACTTTCTAGTACAAATTTCTCCTTCCTTCCCTCAGGTCTTCGTGCTTGGAACGAACTGGACACATTAGTCAGATCATCTCCTACATTAAGTAGTTTTAAACATTCTATCAAGTCAAACCAATACCAGCCCCCCGTATATTATAATTTTTGAGACAGGAAACTAAATATAGTTCACACTAAATTGAGGCATAAATGTAGTTCATTGAACCATAATTTATTTCGTGCTCATCTCGCAGAAAGCCCAGAGTGTGGTTGTGGTCATCCATGTGAGAAGGCTTATCACTTCTTTTTTAGCTGTGTAAATTATAGTAATCAGCGGCGAATTCTATTTCAAATCTTAAACACACTGGATACAAACATCGATTTTAATCTAAATATCCTCCTCTGTGGAGATCTACACTTACCCGTTGACTTTAATGTAGAAATATTTAGAAATGTACACATCTTCATCAAAACCAGCAATAGATTTTAAATTAAGTGAATAGTTAATGTTCATTTTGAATGAACGAGGAGAGCGACCTTAGGTCAGGACTTGAAATATGTATGTTTCGTGTCTTCTTATTTGCCTTAATTTTTACTTGTTATATAATGTGTGGAGAGGGCTTATATAATGTTGCTATAACTTGTGCACGATCCGTTTGCTTGTTTGTTGGCAATAAAATATGTTTAAACTAATGATATTTACTGTAACATGATATAAGGTAATATTTACTGAAATATAATTCAGATATTATTTTTCAGAACGATGGCTTAAAGACGTTTCGGACTGGGAGATGGGACAGATTGCAAGTGTTTTGAACAAAAAGCAGGCCAAATTACTTAGGAAGTTGGTGCCCGTTACGTTGAAACACACTATCGGGGAAGATGAGAGAGGCAATTGCCGAAACGAGTACTTCCACCTACTAAAAGGCGCCCAGTTACGAAACAGGAAAATGTCATTTGATATTTTCAAGCGGAAAATAGCCCTGACTAGACCATACTTTGAAAAGGTAATTCGGACAGATGATGTCATTTCTTTTTCAATTTTGGATTTATACCTCAGTTTTGTTATCATGAAAGCAATACCATGTTCCGAATACTCTATAATTTATTTTTCACAGATGTCCGAGCAGGAGAAGACGTCAATGGAGAAAGGTAAATTATGTTTACTTGCAACACGTTCACATTTTACCACAGTCATAACCTTTGACTCAAAAACGAGAATTGAAATTCAACTGAAACAAAGTTCATAATGTTAGAAATATCGTACGTGATATTTGTATTATTTTGAGTTATATAAATATATATATATTTATATATTTCTTGATATTTTTCAGAACTTGTCACTCATTAAGATTTTATCATTTTCTGTCTATGATTTTTCTACGAAATAACACTGATAATTAAGATTGAAAATGTTGTTCATCTATGTAATACTGCGAGTTTTTTTCTTATTGATGAAAACAAGAGATGAAGAAATGTGAGTTCGAGCGTTTTTTGTTTCTTATTAGCCCATGTTACATTTGATGAATAATGATTATATACCAGTAAATATTTACCACGTTTGACAGAAATAGAAAGGCTGCAGCTGAACAAGATCAGTATAAGGAATCTGAGTTTGGTATCACGGCTGTCAATGGTAGGCAACAGAGAATACTTCCTACTGGGAATCGAGCTTGGTTTGTCCTCGGAGTCTATGGCTGAGATACATTCTCTAATACAGGAATCTCTGGCCGAAAGGTGTCACCAGACTCTACGGAAGACAAAGGAAAGATTTCCCAAGAAAACCTGTGGTGACGTAGTACGAGCCTTTGCCAACCTAGGACTCGATTATCGTAAGGCAATGGAATTGCTAGAGGGAAGTGAACATTATACAGCAATCACATACAGCTAGCAGAAAGTGATATTAAAAGTCATATGATGGTTGTTATTTTGTAAAATATGTATCTGTTATGCGTTGATAATGTCTAAAAACTGACAAATGTTCTGAAAAAAGACCAATAAAAACACAAAATCTTAACATAAGAGGTAAATGAACAGAAAAAAGACACGGAGACCCCTGGAAAAGTACAAGAAGAAGAAGATCAGACGGCAGGCGATATATGATATTTGAGTTTGATTTAGATTTCTATAACGTTTCAGTATTTTCTTATTGTTTACTCCAATATTTTGGATTTTTTTTTAGTTTTTGATACAATTGAAATTAAGACTACATATAAAGTTTACTCAAATAACAAATTTTAAAGTAAAGGGAATTCCAGTTACAAAGAAAGGTGATCGACAGGAAACTTGTCCTTTGTTTTTCATCGACTTCGTAAAAGAATACCAAAGATCATAATAAAAAGACCATTAAAATAACTTAATCGTAACAGATTTGCAATGGTACGTTCTCCAATGTCCGTCAAATGTCAGATTTAGTTTACAGGTGCTACACTTTGACCTGTAGTAAAAACTTAATTATTATATATCAATAATGAATCACGCTTTTGTTTTAATTGTCGTGTCAGTTTTAATCTAATTGTTTGTACTCACTAAGCGCTTGTGAGATGCAGCTCGTTGTCTTATCAGTATTGAGTCTTGACGGCAGAAAGGTTGTGCTAGAGCTGAAGCTTAATTTTATATCTTTTAAACGGCATTCATTGCTTATTGTTTGGTATTTTCACCGGTAGGTAGAACTACTTCTTTTTCTTTATCTCCACTTCTAATTGCATCACAGTTCAACTGGTTTTATTCTAAAATTAAGTAATGAAAAGTGATGTCACTAAAAGTGCATTCCTTATAGACAATGTGTCAAATAAGATTGATGTAACTCTATAATGCAATGTATGGCTTATCAGTCGTCAAGAAACATAACAGAAATATGTAAGTCTTGCCATTTATTTATAATCTTCTATACAAATTTAGTCATTGAGTGCGTTAATTGCATTGATTGAAAATTGCTCTCCCATGTTCACTTGAATATTTAACAATATTGTTTTTACATATGGATACCTTGATCGCATTTGGATTTCATGTTCAAAGGTGAATGGTGAAAGTCATTATAGATATGCAGTCGGTAGATCTGTTTGATATTGTTTTGTTTGAATCATTAATACCTGGTCCCGAACTTGACAATAATATATTACAGGGTAGTGTTACTGAAATGTGATTTTCATCACGTGACTCTTTGAATCAATCAAATAGTCTGCTGAGTAGTAATTTCCTCGGGTCAAAATTTTCTGGATTTTTGTTTTAAACGATCCAATTATATCTTAACAATTGAAAATTTCGCAATTTAGGAGTAATACAAACATGTATCGTTATTTTAAGGATTAAATATGCATGGTCACATTATTGTATCGCAAAATAGTGAAAATCCCTGCTACAATAACCGGCTATATTGTGTATTATCATGGCAACCGATGGTAAAATTTAAGTGATACAGGTATATCAAAATAGAATTTCATTATACTTTTTACTTCCAATACAATCTAATGGCATACGTTGTGGTAATAAGAGAACAAATGGCAAGTTGTTATAATGGCAAACAGAAATACATATAGGGCAAGTGGTTTTTCCTGATGTGCTGATTTATCTTTGATGGATAATTTATGTTTCCTACTTAAATTTTTTTAAATTATTTAGCCGAAACGTCAAATGAGTATTATTTATTTGATCTAGAGAAGGAAAAGAGTAACATCCCTTGTATATGTATTTAAAGTCAGACAATAAATGAAAATAATATTGATAATAAGACGATGAATTTTTTTTATTGAAAAACGAAATACACAATATGTATTTATGTGGTTGATATACTATCAACAACAGTGCAATATCAACATCTCATTGAAGTTCCTCTGTATTTATTCATATATCTGGAGATCTTTCTGATAAAGTGGTATTTTTAAAATACATATGCATCAGGTAGGCATTTGAAATAATTAAAAAATTGACCGATGAAAGTTGATATATTTTGATATTATGGTCATTTTGATTTACGGTTGATAAGGTATTAGAAAGCTTTGTACAATCTTGGAGCAGTTTCTTAATTGTCAAAACCACATATACACATTATATCTTTATTTACAGTGATACCCGTAAATTGAAGAAATATATCGATAGGCAATAGAAATGCATGAAAAAATATATTTAACTTGAAATGAAAGATATTCTGTGTACAGTTAGAGTGATATTACTACCCATATCATATCTCTGTACTACCTCGTAATTCTTACGCTCATTATATTTTTATGTAGTTTAGCAAATTATTGTAGTGAAGCGAAGTGTAAGATTTCAAGATGAGATATCAGTAATTTTTGATGATCGATTGGCTTATATATTTAACAAAAAAGAAAAGAAAATGGTAATAACTCTCAGGCATTTTGTATATTGTGTTAAGATCTAGGAGGTTCCGAGTTCAGTATGAAATATCTATGTTTAACTTGAAAATTTGCTTTGACAATACATCTTGTTCTTCTTACATTTTCATACACCATCGCATTGTTTTTTTTACAAAATACACTTTGGCTTTTCCATATTTTTCATAATATTTCATAACTAAGCGAGCTAAAAAATGTCCCAGTGTAACACATAATATGAAAATGCTGTGTACATTAAATACAATAGTGAGTAAAGAGAAATATTGAGACAGGATATCAAATAGCAAGTGTTATTTATTTTGTTCTATTAGATGTTAATTTTGCTAGAAATATAAACAATTCGTTAATAAAATGTTGGTTGAACAAAAGTGACTTTTTTATATATTTATTTCCAAATTCAACTTTGTGACCAGGTCATGCTACATGTTTATACTAGTTTTTTTTATTTAACGGCAAAATACGATTGTATATGCCTGTGCCAAGGGTTGTTTGCCTCATTTGAAAATGAAAGTAGTTTTCTGGTATCACGTATCACAAAATTATAATTCAATTTCGATAATGTTATTTGTTCATTTATCGTTCATAACGTTGGCGTCATCTTGCGGCATATAATGATAATTGCTCGAGTGTGGAAAAGAAGTAAATTCAGCACGATATGAATTTGAGGAAGAAATGCGAATAATCTAAAATGGTAAAAGAATCAGACAACGTTCAGTGCTCACCCTTTGAAAACAAACAAACAAAAGAGCATGGCATACAACCCAAAGTTCCCTATGTGAACATGCTGGGGGCACGATACAAAATAGCTCTGTCGTTAAGATACCGGACCAATGCCAGATCAGAGTCATGTAGTTCGATCCAAAATTGAAACGGTTTGCAGTCAGCTGAAAGTGAGAACCTTTTCCGTGTTGTTGTGGGTGTGTTCTTTGGCAAGACACGTTATCCTGTAAACAGAATATGACCGGCCGCTTATAGGATGTTCAGTTAGATATCTAACAGTCCTACAATTACTACTGCTGCGATAAGTACGAAACAAAAGCAATGTAAACATACATCAATATGCAGTCAAATGTTGTCTTCAGATGTTTTTTGTCTTCTTTGTGTCTTCTGTTATTCATTGGTTCATCCTTTCGTTGTTATCATAGGGAATAAGAAAGATATCACAGGGCATATTCCGAAACATTATAATAGAATTTGTTTCATCCGTAATGGTTGGTAACATGTATAATATGCATCATCCTGATACTCTTACAGTAGGAGGTTTAAGTTATATTTAGTGCTGAAATTCGTCTTTGCGTTCTTATTGTTTTTTTGTTGTTTTTTTTTTTTAAGATATGATACCATTCTAAAACCTTATAATTATGAAAACTTGAGTTTTGAGTGTTGTACCATTGTAAATATATATTGCTTGATTCAATACATCAACATGTAAAGCGCAACATCTCACTGTTTAATGATACCATTCCTGAATTTCTTTTTTTGTTTTGTTTCTGACATAAAATATCTCTGCGGGTTGTTTCTCAGGCAGTTCTCCTCATTTAGAGTTTTGCCCCTTTAACAGTGAATCTAAGTCGACGAATAGTCATTTGTGAGCATAGCAACAAAAAACGGTGAGTTTATGACAAGGAAGTTTACGATCATTATGAAAGAAGTGCATCCCTAGAAAACTAAACTATCAGGCAAATATGCAGATGTTACATTTTTTTCTGGATTGGTTCATATTTTACCAGAAGAATCACTAAATGTTTGTTACGGAAAGTTGTATGATACAGCTGTACTGACTGCTTTGTATATACACTCAGTATGTATTACTTTGCCTGATGCATAAATATTTAGCATGCAAACTGCGCTTTCAAACATCGATTTAATATGAGAGACGGCTGGTCGAAATCCCATCCAACAAATAAAAAAGTAATTTTTTAGGGTTTGAATGTTCAATTGTATACAGATTTTTTAAAAAAAATCTTTGATTAAGTGCAAAGCATGCGATATCTATTTGTATATACTACTGGATTTGTTCAAACTTTATATATGGCTCATACAGAACATACCGTACGGTCGTACACAAAACGTTCATGGATGAGCGAAGACTTATTGTGACTACATGTAGTAGTCTCTAAGGTTGATTTCATGTCGTGTATTAAACATGGTTCTCCTACCTCGTAGTTTAGGCCTTATATCTATAATTTATTCTAACATTTACACATGTTAAATTTAGTCCATTGGAAAGCCCTACACAATACTTTTGCTAGGGTATTGACCCAGGCCACATAGAAATATATTATTTAATTGACTAACATACCAGGACACATATTGAATAATTAAAATCTCCATCAAATGTTTCAATGATACAGTTATACTTGTAAAGGAGTTATATTCAATATTTATAGAAATGTTTCGACGAGCAACTATTAATATATACACAGTCACTCCGGTGTTCAGCTCGACCATGACCAGGCAGGCATGACTGTAACTTGATCTAGTGTTATGGTTTACCGTGGTGTACACATGCAGACGTAAACAAATATGGCCGCGATGCTGTTGTCGTCTTTTATACTCGCGACTCTTTATTCAACAATTTCTTCCTCCGGTTATGCACCAAACTGGGAGTCCTTGGATTCTCGTCCACTGCCAGGATGGTTTGACCAATCCAAAATTGGAATATTTATCCACTGGGGTGTGTTTTCTGTACCCAGTTTTTCCGGGGCGTTTATATGGTATGCCTGGAAAGGTTATAAAACACCAGCGATTGTGAAGTTTATGGCTGATAACTATCCACCCGACTTCACGTATCCAGACTTTGCGGCGCAGTTTACAGCTGAGTTCTATGATCCAGACAAATGGGCAAAGATATTTAAAGCCTCAGGTGCAAAGTAAGCCTTTATTCTCTATATAAGGAACATCTACTGCAATATAGTATGATTAACATTGCCGCAGTGATCAGGAAGAGATGTTTTATTAGAGAAATATCAATATATTTGTATAACGTTGTAAAAGGGCTAAACACTATTATGAAAAACTTGGTTATTATTATAAACTAGATGAAAGGGCTGGATATATCATGAACCCATTCAGTCATACATGTATCAATTCTCAACAATTCTCCATTTGGGGAGCAATTTTGTCTGTTAACTGTCCATTGTATCTTGGCAAGTCATCTGTCTACAAAAACTATTTATAAGCTTCCCCTTTTGTGTTATTTCGCAATGTTTAAAAACCGAACATAAAAATCTTTGTTGTCATACAACTTGGTGTCGATACCTGACTTTTTTATAACTGAATATAAAGATAATTCTATACTACCTGAGCCTTTTGAAAATAATACAATAGATGTTATACACACACAGTACAAAGGATACGAAACTAACTAACAGATGGTATAGTAAAACACACCGGAAAAATGAATTTACATTACTACAATCTATACACAGCGTCAACTTAAGATAAATACAGTAAGACATTTATAGCAAAATAAACTCACACCAGCTGTTTGAAATACCAAAATCAATGTTTTTTGTACAAATACAATATTTTTGTTATGAAGGTCTGCAACTGCAACAGAGGCATTGGCTTAGTACATTGTAATTGAAATGAAGATATATTTGAAATTTGCATCTATCTATGTACATTGTAGATACGTAGTCCTAGTGACGAAGCACCATGATGGTTTTACTAACTGGCCTTCCAGTTATTCTTGGAACTGGAATTCCATGGACGTTGGACCTAGACGTGATCTTACAGGTAAGGCTTCTTTTTATTTCACCTGCAACGAAATTATACAAATCCAAGGTCGAGTAACATGGGGGCTTGATGTGTGAACGCAGTTAATCGACGTATCTTTATAAGTCATGAGAGTGGAGAAAGGATTTGTGATACGTTATGACAGTGGCGGAAGGTAAAAGGCGATAGCATTCATATGCTCCGTTGCTTTTCTAGTCTGTCAAGGTCATCCGAGGCAGATGTGTTGTTGAGATACGAAAATTGATCAGTCGGTCAATAAAGCCTGCAGTTGTTAAAGGAAAATGTAATATTGAACTCACCCATTTACTCGTAGAATTTTTGCATTCAACTATGTTTGAAGATATTGTAAGAGTTAATATTTCGAGTCATTCAGACTTACTTAAAACAACCAAGGGATAAGGAAGTGTCCCTGCAAATTCGGACTATAACGCTACTAAATATAAATTTCAAAATATACAGAAATTCACGCGCAATTGGTAACGTTTACTCGAACTGGGAAAGTCATATGCTCGTTTCATTATTTTCAAATAAATCATAAAGAATTATTTTTCTGTTAGCATTGTGCATATGACGAAACCCTTTCTATGATTTGTCTTCTATTATTAAAGTGTGGACTGCCTTAAAACGCCTTATTCACACTCTCAATAATTTACTCCTCTGCAGGAGAGTTGGCAGCAGCAGTACGGAGACAGCCAGATATGAAATTTGGAGTCTACCATTCCTTATACGAGTTTTACAACCCTCTCTACCTGCGAGACAAAGCAAATAAATACAAAACGCAGGAATTCGTCAAGGTATATATCTTAATCAATGTTCATGTTTTGCCTTCTTATCACACTACACGACACAATCACCTGGACGATTCAATAGAGCAAACCTATCCTACCATAAATTTGTCAAGTGGCTAGTGAACACACAGCTGATGATAATCTAGTCGCTGTTCATATGAGGAGCATAGGCTTAAGATAATGATCCTCTAGTCGTTACCTCTGAATCGGACAACACGCAATATGTTATACTGTATTAGCTAAACAATGGCTGAATGTTTGAGATTCATTTTAACTACATACTTTCAATAAACACTACTATTAAAGCAGATGTCAGTTAAAGGTCTTTACGGGTCCCTCACCTGTATGTTTTTGTAGTGATCAGATGTAATGTGTGATATCCATACTAAGCTTTAGAGCTAGTGTATGGTTTAAATAAGACACGGGTAGATTTTCATCTGTATATCAAAAATCAATGGCACATATAATGTACACGTAACAGAATGAGCAGCCTCAGATTTATATCTTCATCAAATTTGTTATAATGAACATTACAGAAAATTCCCGTTTCATGCTCTTTCTATACAATAATTATATGATGAAATAGAAACTGGCATCAATTTAAATTCGCAAAACAGCATTATAAGAATACTGCCCTGGTAAATGCTGTCAGTGCAGATAAATGGAAGAATGTCGCATATTCATGTCTTAAGGGTAAGGATGAACCGATGTAGTAATAGTCCGGCGTCAATTCTACAACATCAGTTACTCACTGTGTTTATTTACTTGTTTACCACTACGTCTATTGGTAGTGAATTATAGATGTCAATAATCAAATACAAAAAGATTTAAGATTTTTTTTTCTTAATTACAAAAGGAAGTGTTTTGAAGAAATTCGCGTTTATTGTGATAATATTTGGTAACGTTTTGTCGTTCATTAAAATAAACTTAGCTGATTGCACAGCAACGATATCAGCACAATTCAACTTACGACCAAAACATATCTCGGGAAGATCAAAACCCGGTTTCCAGAAGTTGATACTGTTGTTGTGAAATTGAATCCTGATAAATGACTTTTGCCACAAAAGTGGATTCTTTCGAGAAAAAGAAACTTTAGAAATAAAAACTTAATTAGAAGTGGATTATTGTTCATTAGCATAGGTTTCATAGTATAATATTCTGTTCCATGTTTTAAATCCATTATATCGTATTATTCAGACTAAAACAATGCCAGAACTTTATGAACTTGTGAATAAATACAAGCCGGAAGTTATTTGGTCAGATGGAGCATGGGAAGCTAAGGACACATACTGGAACTCTACTAACTTCTTGGCCTGGCTTTACAACAACAGGTAAGAAGTCATCAAGTATGATCTTGACAAAATTGTTATTCGACCTTACCAACGCACTTCAGTTGTGTTTATTGTACAAGATTTAGGAATGCCATTAATAATACTTGATTATGCTTAGTATTAGAAGCATGGCCTGTGATATCTGATGGTACATTTTGACAGAAAATGATTATTTCATATTTAATTTTCAATATCCCATTGTGTACAATAAGATGTATCATTTCAAAGTATCCAGAAAATATTTGTGATTGTATAGGTAGTACAAAGGCTAGATATATTTTTTATTGAATGAATGAGTCTCCATGTAATACTTTTTAAATATTTTGCCCTTGTTTTATGGAATTTGATTAAACTAGATTAAGATTAGATACTTTTGGAATGTTTCTTAGTTAACCCACGTGAACAGAAGACATCATAAGTAGATGAAGCTCCGAATTCGGATACATTTACAAGTCTGTTCTGACACAAAGCAATGTTCTAAAAACATCAACGCTATTCCGGCAAGACTTTGAATCATTACCAATTGATATTTGTTTCGAAGCTTGGACTGTTTTTGATACCAAAGAAGAACTTAAGTAAATAGCTAATGAAGGTGACAATTCTGAGGCAATTTCTGATTTCTGCAACAACAGGTAATTCTTTAACCCACATGATCGCCTATATAAGAAGATGTGATGGTTTATTCTTAATTGACAGCCCAATAAAGGACACGGTAGTGACGAATGACAGATGGGGAAGCAACACGCCATGTAAACATGGTGGCTTTTGGAATTGTAACGACAAGTATAACCCGGGTACGTTATTCACGCCTGTTTATATCTTGGTTCGATATAGAACCTATAGGAAAATATTTAACAATGTCTGTAAATTTTCGTTTGTTTTCATAGTCATAACAAATGTCAGTCTGTAGCAATTGGGTCTAACTGGTTATCTGATAGTTTCCTATCACTTCACTTTGATAATTTGAGTTCGTACCTAGGTAGAAAGTTCTCATCTTTCGAAGTCATGAGTCAAAGATATACAGTAGAGAATAACAATGAAAAACACATTGTGTTGTTTGTATTTTTGTCTTTGGAAAAAATGATATATGAAATAAAAATCATAGAACGAATGTGTTAAAATATGAGCACAAAAACTGACCTCACATTTCATTTTATGTTATAACGTCATTGATGACATCATCAAAAATTAGAAAGTCCAGGATTTTGTCAAGCTGGATGAAACGAATGAAATTCATATTGATTTCACCGACCCCCGGGGAAAAATATAGATGTTACGCCTTTAAGTAGAACACATATTTTATAATGATCTCTAAGTTTAAAAAGCATGAATCTTTTACCTACAGGAGGAGTGAGTCATCTGGAATAGCACAAGCCGTAATACATAACTGAAAGGTTGATACCATATGAACGAAACGCAGTTATAATAGGAGTATTGAAGGGGTTAAATACAAGTACTTCGTCAGCTTGTGTCTTTTTTCCTTTGAACGTTATAAACCTTGTTTTGTAATCTGGTGAAGCTTTCTTTATGCTTGATGGAAATGTCAATAAGCAGAACACGTGTTACTTGGGAACGAAAAAACAGAAAAAAATAACTATTATATAGCCAGATAGAGGTCATTTGTGCAGCACTGTGTAGTTCTGGAAATATTGGCATTTTTTATTAAGAGGATGGTAAAATAGTAATTGTAGCTAACATTATATCGCTGCGTTCTGGCGTCGACTTTTTCTTATCGAAATAGCAGTGATATCCAAATGGCACGACATTGTTAGAAACCATGAACCAGTATCCTGTAGATTTAAACATAAGAAACCAGTCAAATGTTTTCGAGATGTATCCTGATTGGAAAACCATTTTTACTCTTTGAACTTATATTCACTAATCTTCATCATGTATGTCATTTACGGTGTTTCAACACTTGTTTTTCGCCAGTCAATATTGATGTGTTTGTAAAAACACGAATCATTGTTAATCTCGGTTTTACTTGAAGGTGTCCTTGTGAAACATAAGTGGGAAAATTGCATATCACTAGACAAGGGTTCGTGGGGATTCCGCCGTCCTGCTACTTACGATGACTACATGTCCATAGAGGAACTTCTAACAACTTTGGCGGAAACAATCAGGTATTGCTGATGATCAGGTCACAGATCAGTGCCGGATCCAAATGGATTGTCTTGATCTGAGGTGTCTTCAAGTTTTGTAATGACAACTTAGATAATTCAAAAGACCGTTTTAAAACATTCCTCCGCCTAACCTAACCCTTTACTTATATTTACAAACTTTATGTTCCAAGACAAATATAATACAACATTGATGATGTCTGGAACAGGCACGTTAAGAACATCAAACGGTTTTTTTCATCATTCTCTTTTTTATCTTTGTTTTTCTGTCCAGCTATCATATCGAATCTATGAACCAACAATATAAAATTAGTTTAGTGGCGCTGAAGGAATCGTGACAAAATCTTGCCTTTTAGTTCCATATTTTTAGCTAGCAAGTAATTAAGAATTCCAGTAAGTAAAAAAGCGTAGCAAAAGTGACCAGGAAATGCTAGATTTTGACGCTTAGATACGAAGAAAATAACGATGTTGATTTTAAACAACACATTAACTTCATCGACGTCAACGCTAATGATCTAACCACGCATATTCTGATAAATATTGACATGATAATCTTTATGTTTGATATGTGAACAGTTGCGGTGGAAATATTCTGATCAACGTTGGACCAACACACGACGGGCGGATCGTTCCAATTTTTGAAGAGCGCCTCCTACAGTTGGGAAGCTGGTTGGATCTAAACGGAGAAGCCATTTATTCTAGTATTCCCTGGTCATACCAAAACGATACCATAACATCAGGTGTCTGGTAAGTCACAAAATATCATTCTGTAACGTAAGTCACGCGGTACGAACAGTCAAATCCGGGGTCAGGTGAGTAAGTCAAGTGAAAGTCCAGAGATATCTTACTTAGCAAATCAGAATATAACTTATCTGACATGTCGTCAATGCCGCCAAATTCCTGGTCCAAAGGCCACGCGACAAGACAATACAGAATTCAAATTTGCGGGATACTCCGTCACATCCCGGTGAAGAGCGTGGCATAACGTGCTCTGTATGAGTCCACATGCCATTGTTTGGTTATTATTTCATCGTATCTAAGATATCAAGTAAACGTCTACCGTTCCTATAACACGAGTGCAGCAAAATATGTTTCATTTATTCGCTAGTTTAAGTCGTTTGTTTGGTGGGTTTAACGGCCCGTAAATAGCCGGTCTTTTTGAGGCGGGGTCTCCTTGTACTAGCTGATGACTTCCTTACAGAACAACATTTGGAAGGTCCGTATTTTGTCATCCTGAGTAGTTAGGATAAAGTGCATTGCCCAAGGACACAATCAAGATATCATAAGCCGGTCTGTCTCTTAACTTCCTAAAATTTAAATCATTTTTGTCACTTTTGAAAGCTGTGAAATACGCTTTCAAAATTCATTAAAATAAATTTCGTTTTAGTGGAATGTGACCCGAGTTTTGCCGAAAGATTATATCGTTCCGACCACTAGTGATAATTCATTTGTTTTAATGCATGGATGTTCATATTTTTTTTCTAAAATTGATATATTCTCAAAGGTGACAAAAATCAGCAGTTTTTCTTACTTAATTGCTTTTAATTATATTTGATGTTTCAAACGTATATCATAACTGCAACTATGATCGTCAAGTTTAATAGCTATCTTGATAACTGTTTGTGCTGTATTTTGACAGGTACACATCACGGAAGACAGGCAACGAAACAGTAGTATATGCAATCGCCTTAAACTGGCCCAAAAATGACGTTTTGGTTCTCGGCTCTCCAAAAATTACTCCTGCAACAAAAGTAGATTTGATTGGATACCCGGCAACACTAAGCTGGACGACTCTTCCAGAAGTCAAGTCCGGAATGATCATAACAATACCACCACTTTCAATGAGTAAAGTAGTGTGCAAGTGGGCGTGGGTGTTCCGAATGAAAGGTCTTGGAAACTGAATGGCGGAAAACTGACCAGCCTCGTTCAGAAGAGGAAGTTAAACGCCCATATCAAAAGTTGAAAAATTAAGAAAAATGACATATGAGTATTATATAATGCTATCAAGATCGCTGTGTACCGTGATCGAATTATCGAACAGATTGTGTTGAAGAAACATTTCCCGTGCAATATTTTATTGATTGGTTTAGGTTTTCAGCAATGAATAGAAGAAAAGGGGTGTTTTTGTATTGTTTATTGTATCTTTAAGGATACCCATTTTTCCAGGTCATATTCCATCTTCGATAATACTGACAAATGGCTTCAGTAAGATATAGCAAACTTTGTTGTGCAATATCACCATGACTACTAGACAAGTGTGTACATGACAATGTAGTCCTATAGTACCTCTCGGTCCTGTGCTGTCTGGACAAATAGATACTGCTTTTGTATGTCATTAGCTACAGCGGGGTATTTATTTTCTTGGGTACAAAATGATAAACAGATTAAAGTTGACCTCGGTTCCAGAACTGGTGGGTTTTGAGAGCAAGATTTATCCACGACATCAAGTGCCAGTGAAAACATTTCTTTTGAAACCCACGAAATTTAAGCCACTCGAAAACATTATTTTACAATATATACACATATAAGTATGACAAAGTAAAATATTTGATAAAAAATATGAATTTGGCACAAATAAAGAGACAGCGTGTCGTTTATAAAGTGGCTACATCGACATTACCTCAAATATATCGGAGGGGAAACTATCCGGCTCCCGATATCCATGAATGGGAAAAACCATTATCATTTGTCGATAATTTCATTCACAATCTCACTGGCGCTACGTTTGATAACTGTCAACATGGGTACGGGTAATACCTTAGGGAGATAACGTGATGTGCCACTAGCAAAATGTATTGAATATCGGGGAACATCATAGCTGTTGCAAATAGTATAGATAATATAAGGTTTGATGTTATCTGTGTATGTTATGGCCTCGTCAACACCTGGTTTGAGTTTATATATAGGATTAATTCTTGGTATCCTGTTAAGTGCATTTATATATACATGACCTGCAGATACGTCGCATATTCCGAACGCTGTGTACTTATGAAAGGAACCCAAAGAAATGTTTATTTTTGCGATCCTTAAGTCACACATTGACAAGTTTTGAAGTAAGAATATTGAAAATGAAATCTAACGTAGGCAGTCGTTTTGTTGTTTCATTTTGAATTAATTACATAACGTCATTGTCCATATTATTATTGTGACTGGTGCAGCCAATTGAAAAAAAACGCCCAAGGGTGTATTACATTAGTGACAAAATTGTCACAAGGGCGAATTCACTGTATAACAAGCAGGTATATGTCATATAAACATATATTTTACAAAATGTTTACTTATAATAAAAATATTTTATTTCTGCTTGCAATTTTCAAGTATACTGCTATTTTAATGTGTACAATGTAATCCTACAATAGGGATCTGACGGGTTTGATTTTCCGTTTTATATGCCTGGTTACATATACAACTAAGTGATAGGCTTATCGAGTGCACCTGTATAAACGAGATATCAGAACATTCCCTTTTATCTTCTGGTATCCTTCGCCTACAACTATCGACTTATGTGTTATCAATATAACAATGAAAGGGGAACACGATAGGTCTTTCTGGTATGACGTAGGTTAGATGTAAATTTTGTCGTTGTGTAAAATTGTATTTTGACACTGTCTTGCGAAATGTATTGAATTATGGGACTAGTGACATCCCTATTTAGATTTTGACGTTTCTTTCGATTACTTTGGAATTTTATTTTCTCATTCGCCTCCAAGGATTCAAACATCAGGGTCTTAGTACCACTGATGTGACCTGGAAGGACGAAACAGATATAGGATGCAGTTTGGCTCTACCATATTCAACTCTAAAATATTTGTATTAAAAGATGCTATCCACTTGTGTGCGTTTTTGTACAATCTTGTAAAGCAATTTGACTATTGCTAATACTACAAATTATCGAACATCAAACATGCAATATGTTAAAATAAATGAACGAGCCATTTATGCTCGATAGCAATGTTCGTTTTGCTTTTCGGCAAATTAGCGCAAAGATGAATTCATATATTTACAATATTTGTTATATGCGCAATAATGTTAAAGGGTAATATAGCGCAAAAATGGCATTATCATTCGTACCTCCATGGCTGTTAAAAATACCTCTATTTCATTTCATGATACATATACCATTTTTAATACTGACTTGTATCTCTGTAGAATAGATACGTGTAGTGTGCTTACATAAGTGATTTTTAAAAATAAAACATGACATTACATTTAGAGTGGAGTCTCATTTGGCAAATGTTAAGGCAGGCGTTCCTCAAGGTTCGACCCTAGCACCTTGGCTGTTTTTACTTTATATAAATGATAGTGTTTATGATAATGGATCTATAATAAAGCTCTTTGCTGAGAACACTTTAATTAATATTAAAGTGCAAACACTGTTATTGGCAGCAGAACACCTGAATAATGATTTAGAAAAAAAGTATTTTTTAAAGCATGGCTAGTAGATTTTAAAGAAAAAAGTATGAAAGTGTCTAGAAATATGGACACTTCTAACAGTCCTGGCATATTCTAATAACCACATAGAAAACATCAACTCTCCCATAAACATTTGTTTTTTTACTTATCTCGCGATTGTGGTGGAATCACTCATGTTGGTAACAATTTGAAATGACAGACATTCTTTGTGGGCATATATTTATCTCCGTGTATGCGAGGACATCAAAGCAATGAAATCAATAGGAATCAATAGCAAAAGCAATCATAGAAATGAGATATAATGATATAATGCCCACATATATTTTCGAGGAAGAGAAAAGACGGAAACATGATTTTTAGGACAAAAAGAAATATCAGCAAAAAGTTTGTAAGGACATTTTTGTGCAATTTCAGTCATAATAAGAGTGTCCCCAGAACATGGGTAAAAAAATCGGGAATATGTCCCCTTAACTGCGGGTTTCACCAGATCCCCCCCAACCCTCTCTCTCTCATGTCAAGGTTTCCTGTATAAAAATCAATCTAGATAAGATATCTTATACTATGTAAATGAAAGGTAATTTATAATGTCCCTGTATATCTTGTGCTCAATCCTTTTGATTATATTGGCCAAAAAAAAAAAAAAAAAAAGAACATCTGCCACGAAAAGTAGAATTTACTGCCTACAGGAAAATGTTAACGGATATTATGCTTTACTTTTATCAGACCTGTGAGAGTGAGCTGACGTCGTTTGTGTCAATTTAAATACGGAATGTGTTAATAACACGAGTGAAAAGCAAATCAACCAGGAAGCTGCAAGAATTTTAAGTGTTTGTCACAAAAAAAAGCAATCATAAAAAAAACTAGTTGGGAAATTTTAAATTGAAAGAAGGAAGAGGAAGAACAGATACAACATTTCGAAATGCTTCTTCGTCGCACTGTTGATCACTTGTTCAGCCTAGTACACCAATTTATATCGGATATACGCACTTAACAGGCATCATGTGTACAACACGGTTCTGTCGTAAGTCTTCATTACGCTCAGCTTTAACACTCAGCAATTCAATTCCTGAGAAATTCCCAAAAAATTCTTCCTAGTAAACATTAAAAAAGATATCTTAATCTCAAGTTAGCCTTAATGTTATTATATAACTCGAGGTTAGGTCAAGTAAATCAATTTGGGTCACGTATTGAATGTAGTTTCTAAAAATATCACCTTTTACAAAGATATCGTCAACATGTGTTATCCAAAATGTACAGTTTTTCATAATTTTAGTGGATATCTCAGAAAAATTATCGACATCTCTCTCACTGATTTGTCAGAAAACTAACAAAAGATTAGAGGTTATAACTAATAAATAATTTAACTAAAAAATTTACATTTTTCTAAATTGTATGAATTAAGTTTTGATTCATATCATGTTAATGTACCTGTCTTGGAGCGATAGAATTGTATCGCTCGTTAAACTTTTTGGCAACTAAGCGCAATCACAATACTTCCAGCACTCTAAGTGCTACATGTTAAATATGATTACCGCTGATATTTGTAGTTTGACAGGAGCTAGAACCTGCAGCACATGTCTCTTTTTGATTAAATGATAGCCTGATATAATATGATATGATTTTGAAATTAGATTACATACTTATCAATAAATATGTGACGTGTGTTAGCAAATACAAGTAATGTGACATCATGTTTGCACTTTAATATGTTTTATCCGGGTTTATCGTGTGTATAGTTCTTTATAGTTATAACACTATGACATAGTTCTATCAAGGTAATTTTATCACAGGTTTGGGGCTAACAATAAGAAAATATTTCAAGATTTCAGGAAGTGAAATAAATATATTTTTATCATGTATTTGTTAAGAATTTTAAGAACTTTAATGGATCGAGTTAAACAGAACTGTACACAAAGAGATCAATAATATGAAAAAGTGATTAAAGCGTATAATTACGAATATTGTTTGTAAGTTGATTATTTCGTTTAATTTTTCGCCCACTTGATTGGAGGAGTCAGTGGCAACTTGCCACTATGCGGCAGGTCCATTAGAACTTCTTTTTGTGTGAATGGAATATATGTTTACATTCACATGGTGTATGTATCGCTGTCATTCCCAAGATGTTAAAAAAACAGACTACATCAATTAATCCCATCTTAGGAATTAATTATAAGCCTGATAGGAATATTTTCAACTTAATGCTGGTATGAAAGAAAAATACCTTTTTGCAACCCTATCTTAAGCGCATCCATTCAGTTTAAAATCATCTTTCAGCATAAAAGGTTTTTCTTTCATACCAACATGAAACTGAAAAATATTCCTATCAAAGCTGAGATGAATTAAACCGGTGAAACCCTATATAAATATTAAGTTAATGGAACCTATCGTTCAATTTAAAAGTGAGATAAAGGAAAGTCAAATAATGGATTCAACTGTAGCATACCACTGTTTCGTCCTTCTAAGACTCGTCAGTGATGCTTTATCATGCAGCTGTTTCGTCCTTCTGAGACTCGTCAGTGATGCTTTATCATACAACTGTTTCGTCCTTCTAAGACTCGTCAGTGATACTTTATCATGCAGCTGTTTCGTTCTTCTGAGACTCGTCAGTGAAGCCCTATTAAACAGCTGTTTCGTCCTTCTAAGACTCGTCATGGAATACTGTATCATGCAGCCCATTCATCCTTCTAAAACCTATTAGTATTGCTGCATCATGCAACTATTTTGTCTTTCTAAGACTCGTCAGTGAAGCTATATTAAACAGCCGTTTCATCCTTCTACGACTTATTGGTAATGCCGCATCATGCAGCTGTTTCGTCCTTCTATGAACTGTCAGTGATACTGTAGCATACAGCCGTTTCATCCTTCTACGACAAATTAGTAATGCCGCATCATGCAGCTATTTCGTCCTTCTAAGAACGGCCAGTGATACTGTAGCATACAGCCGTTTCATCCTTCTACGACATATTAGTAATGCTGCATTATGCAGCTGTTTCGTCGTTCTAAGGCTAATCAGAGAAGTTATATCATACAGTTTGTTTGTCCTTCTAAGACTCGCCATTGATACTTTATCATACAGCCTTTTCCTCCATCTAAGACTCGTAAGTGATGCTGTTTCACACAACTGTTAAGTCCTTTTAAAAGTAATTTATGATATTGTATCATACAGATATTTCGTCCTTCTAAGATTCCTCAGTGCTAAGGAGTCTAAGATATTGAGGTGACCGAGGGAAAATAAAATTTCGCCAAAATAGATGTTTTATCTATATTGGGAGGCGCGCTAAATTTATAATATATTTAATGAATTTTACAGTTTTCAATGTAAGAGTATTTCGAAATTACTAGTTGTATGTATTAAAACGCAGCGTGCAGAACTACGATTCTGGATGGGTTTTGAAACGAACCAAGTCCAACAAAACATCATGCCCCACTTAAAGACATAGCCACGGGAGTATTTGGAATGTAATATACTGCGACTTATCCTGAACCCGGAAGACTCATCTTGGCATGAGTTCAATCCGTTGTCAGATGTTCATCATCAGCGTGTACATAGTGAGAATCCCAGTTACTTCCTGGTTATATACCAAAGACTTCATGTAGAAAAAAAATGACCTCATGCTCTCTAACTTTTGGCAAGATATTTAGCAGCGAGTTTTCATCGTTTCTACAGTATTACCGAAAAGTTCAATTTGTATAGGGACATAACTAAAATTTAGGGGGAATTCTGTAGCGTAAGGGGATCGTCTCTTTATTCAAAGCAATGCATGTAATATGACCCGCGGTCAGAGTTGTGTTTGTCTACTGTCCGTCAATTCTTTACATGGTTGTAAAGTGGTAATATTCAAAACTCCTGACTTACTGACCCATTGTGGTCGCCTTATTTCATCATTATAAGTCATTTCCATTGTACATCATTTTACAAAACTGTCCCATGTGTTTTGCAAGATATTTGTATTTGAGTTTTTCCTTATAGCCGGTCCTTTCTCATAAATCAAAACCAACTTTCGATTAATGTATTTCAGGTGAAATTTAGTTGAAATCAATTCAATGGTTCCTGAGAATCACTTGTTAGAAAACACTATGAACAGACGACGTACACCTTCCGATATGGTAATCTTTGCGCCGTTTCTTTTCGGCAAAATTAGACTTAATAACATTGCAGATTACCTATTGTCTTTCATCTCCACAGATCTGTGATGATGTGTACGGCTATTTTGATTTGTATAAAGTACATGTTTAACGATTGATAAATGACCTCATTCCCATACCGGAAGTTTAAATCAGGCTTCAATAGGCGTTTTTCTGTGACGTCGTTATTTTGGAAATGACGTCAGGCGAATTTAATACAGGTTTTTAAAATTCATTATAAATTCTGATGACCATTGCAGCAATCAGCTCATCGGAGAGCACTTTGTCGATTACCTGTACTATCATCATTGTCGTAAGTTTGACCAGCAGGGACATTTTCAATATATGGCAAAATGTAAACAACTGAGTGAAAATATACCGATTCGTTGCACATACTTTAAGCAAAAGCAGTGATCGACGTCAACACATACATGTAAGTAAGTATTGAAGCTAAACAAAATAACACATATTATCATTATATGAAACGAATTGGTGTAGTAAGCCATTTCATATTGTTTTATGCTAATATCATAATTATGCTTATTTGGCTAAGAGAAAATACGAATCAATGGAAGTGACATACCACAATGATATTTCTTATTTCCGTTAAACGCCCCCTCCGTTTAAAAACGCTTTCACATTTGAATAATTTTTTCCATATTTAAGCACAAAAAAGAAAATACCACTGTGTCAAAATAATCATGACCCGAACTAAAATTCAGTACAACAGGTTCAATGGGCCTACATCGCTTAACTGTTCACCAAAAATACAATAATACACCATTGACATTGAAAGTGGACTCATCCTATCAATCTTCACTCATTTCCCTAACAACCTTAATGTTCTTACACTTAGTTCTAAGCAATGCTATGGATTAAAGGAGAATGTAAGTTCCTCTTTTCTCGCAATTTGAATGACTTTGACCTAGACACACCCTGTCTACCAGATATCATGCTTCTCAGTATTTTGGTTTACCAGAAGAATTTTTTTTTAAAGTTTTGACAAATTTTACTGTGTAACTGTGAATATGGTTTAATGAAGTTTCTTTTTTTCAACCTAGAGACCTACCTATCGATTATCATTCTTGTAAGCCATTTGATTGAAAAACGTGACCCCTGTGACCTTGAACATCATTTTGTCGGGCATCATCATATCAACCAGTCCAATATTATCGCTCTAGGCCAATTCGTTAATCATAAGATGTCCTTTACAAGTTTCAATTCTTAATTCTTCTCTCAAATTGTGTTTTGCCTTATCCAAGAAACCTGTCAGCTAAACATTATTTATGGGCGCTTGCTTATCCAGACGAAGCAGTTCAAATGGTTATTGTCGGCTGACGGACCAGGTGAGCTGAAAATAGGGCAAAATACAAACAAAAGAAACTTTTCAACGAAGACTCCTGAAAAAGTGCAAGAAGAATAATTCCAGGTGTTGGGGAAGGGTAAGCGTCTTCTGCTTTATCGAAGACACTCGTCATGCAAATCTTGGGCAATTCAAGTAAGTAATGACACGTTCTCAAAAAAGAACAAGGTATAAAACGGAGCCAACGTTCCAACTAACGAGCATAAAACACGTCCAGCTTCAAATCGCACCAAGAAATAGAACATCTCTCAATAAGATTAATATGACGATTATAAAACTTCCCCATGTCCTTTTTCACCAATCTGCATTTTTTGAAACCATGTGTATGAGTTTGTCAGTCAGTTGACGACTTTTGCATAAAAATAGTGATAATGGAAACATGCTCTTGGAAAATCGAGTCAACTTGCGACATGTAAATACAAAAGGTTGGGGATGGAAATATGCTGCTATACAAAAAGGTTAATATCATAACAGGGCAGCTGAAATTTTACTCGCTTATCATACAGCTTGGTGGAAAGCTGTCCAAGTCGGTTTCGTTGTAAGGAAAAACCGAGATAAGCGGCTGATGAAGAAGAATCTGTCGTGATTTCCAATTCTTGTGGGTAAACACGATTGATGTGGTCAATAAAGTTTTTTTTTATCTAAAGAAAATACATCATCAAAAAGAAAAGACATAGCTATAGAAATCATTGCATCTTCCAGGCATCTAATTCTCACTTACGATCAACATCAACTTCGGATTTTACCTTTTGCAAAGATGATAATGTTTCATATTTTTGTCGCGAGATCTCTGCTGTAGAAAGTTGTACATTAATCTGTAAGGATTATGTGGACAGTGGTCAGAATGTCAGTAGTACCATGCTGTGTGTTTCGTCACCGCCATCTCGATATGTCCCGTCCGGAACACTACACGACAGGGATTGAAGGACCTGTTACACATCGTAGGTTAAGTTATTTCAGTTGAGCTTTCGAATTCCAAACTTTCTTAATTCAAATAAGTAATTTATCGTTACATATGGTAACAGTCGAGGTACGGAACAAAATTTCTTTAAATAAACTCTCCAGAAATAGTCGCGATACCGTATTGTTTAGTTATGTAACGTTATACCTATTTCTGGAAAACATGACGACAAATCAGGATCATTAGAACTTTTAATAATTTATTATTTCATTTAATAAAATATAAGCATGAATAAGAATTACAGAAAGTAGTTAATAATTTGACTTCAGTCTCTATCGCAAAAACAGATAATTACGATCAGAGGATTCATAACTGCCAATGCGCCTTACTATAGCACTATATAGAGATGACGTGGGTGTCTCTGATTAAAGACTTGTGTGGACATAACTGCCAATGCGCCTTACTATAGCACTATATAGAGATGACGTGGGTGTCTCTGATTAAAGACTTGTGTGGACTTAACGTTTGCTGATATGAAACTTCCAATAAAACAATATGGGAATGGAGTGCGTTAAATTCAGCGATATGAGGATTGAAGTAACTTAACTAAAAAGAATTGTTCTCTTCATCTTTTCGATCTACATTTTATAATTGATTTTCTGTTTTGAATTTCAACAAGTTTTCCGCGTCAGACTCTCTGACGTCACATCCAGGTCTGAAAAAGAGGCCTACATTACTAGCAAGCTATTGTTCAATGTCGATTAGCAATGTAATTTACTAAGATAGATACGTTGTGCAAAGGTCACAAAGAAATATCAAAGCATTTTTAAAAAGGCTGAAAAATCAATGCCGATGTGCCGTATTAAGAGAACGGATCAACTTAAACGTTTAATGATGGTAAAATCTCGAGGCTATATAGAGATGGGCAAAAAGCTAAAAGAAGACCGGAGTACGTGAAGCCGTGAAAATTACAATTATTAACCATGGTTCCTTGTGAGGGCAAAACCTGTCCTGAAGATAAGAGACATTTCCATCAAGTATAACATCGAGGCCATATTTCAAACATATATCTTCACAATATAACCTAGCTAACGTACTAATACATATACCGTGGGATAGTACATATGTACGTGTGTTGTATACGCCCACAGCATTGATATTAAAGATTTAAAACTATATCTATTACTTTTACTCCCACATTATGCTGTCTTAAATTGCGATAATATTCCACGCAATCATCAATTGAGCAAGCAATGTAACCAACCGCAGATGATAGATTACCACTAACAAGAGGTTCCAGAGAGATCTTTACTTGAAGCTTTTCCCTTGTCCTCTTTTTGCTCTTAACGGTAAGAAATTTGAACATTCCTTTGCTGGAATAACGATGATAATCTTTAACTGTCAAATCCAAGATGGTCGTCTAAAGGCCATTTTTCTGATCATTCCAAAAATCAATCGAACGGGCACAACTAGGGACCAAAAGGGAACCTACATATGTGTTTTGAGAAAGATTCATTCAGTACTTCTAAAGAAATAGGAGTAACAAACTTTACTAGGCGAAATCTAAGATCCTATCGGCCATAATCTTTTTATGATCAGTCCCAAAATCAAACCGGCACCACTAGGGACTATGGGGAACATCCATATGAAATTTGAGAAAGATCCATCCAGCACTCCTCAAGAAATAGCGAAAACAAAAATTGTTTACGGACGGACGGACGGACGTAGGGCGATTTGAAAAGCCCATCATCTGATCAAATGATGGTGGGTGAAAAAAACTTTATAACCATGCTCTTATATTTTTTTCTTATTTCCCATCCCAAAAATAGGTAGTATGGTCGAAATATTACACAAATCACAATTAAACTATTGGCACAATTTCAAGACCCCCATGTCGCAAATTCGATCGAAAGATATCAAATTTGCAGGACGAGGATCACGTTCTCATGTGGTTTCATTTCCCGCATCCTAAAAAAAATTAAGTATCAGAAATGTCTATTGTTGAAATTTCTTTCAAATCAATGCTAACAATTTAAGTAGAATAAGAACGAAATCAAAGCTAATGTTTTGGACACTATCTTTTATCTACGCCAAACCTCATAGCTTGTATCACTCATACTTTTTCCGTGAGTCTTTCCTCTTTATTCCTCTCTATCCTTCTTTCCTGTTTATAAAGCAAGACAGCTACTACCACAAAGTATTGGGTAGCCGTTGCAACCGAAGCACCAAATCAAGAAATGTATTCAAAGGCATTCCTGCTTAATTTTTCAGCTATATAGCACTCAAATATCAATGTTCAGCCTAGTGATACACAGAGAACACCAAGATATAATTACTTATCAAAGAAGCATAATTTTTCAACAATTTCATGGCAAATGGAAATGTTACTGAGTAAACAGAATGTATCACAACAACACTTTTATAGGGTGGCACAGGAGGACGGGACAACAGAGTTCATTTAAGGAATTGTTAAACTGCGGATTGTATAGCTGATAACTGGTCTGACTCACACATTTTGCAATGCGTAACTTCAGGAGGATTATTGAAAGTACACATTAAACATTTCTTTGTGGTGATATCAAACTCACTACTTGTATTTGTCGCCCTTGACTTTCCGCAACTGGCGCACACTTGCACTTCGTTCAAATTTTCATATGTACAAAAGCGACAGGGCCAGACAATCGTCCGGTCTGAACTCAACTGTCTAGGTAAACGAGGCGGAAGTACGTCCGGCGCGTCCCGGCGTGCAACAGGAGCTGAACGACTGGTACCGTACGGGGGCGCTGTGTTATAATTTTGCTCCGTCACAAATTCCTTCATCACGCCAGAAGGCGGGACTGGAAGAGGTCTTGGATTTATATTTGATTGTCTAGATGTTGTTTCGTTTGGGGATCTTAGAGACATGCTTTTAGAAATCGGTCTCGTGTTCGTTGCATTTTCAGGGGTTCGCGGAGGGGATGTTGGGAAGGTTTTCCTGCCACTGGATAAGATGTGACTAGGCTCTCTCGTTTGGAGTTGGGGATGGGTCCTGTTTCCGTGTACCATTTCGCTAGGATGCTCCGGATAAACAATAAGTTTACTGGGAGAATCCTCGTTAGCCACAGGATGCAAGTAAGTTGTTTCGTTCCCTCTTGACAGACCTCGCTGTTGTGTAAAATGTCCGGGTGGCGTGACGTCACTAAAAGGTGGCATCTTAGCGTATGACGTAGATGAGCCTGCTGCTTTTGACACCACCTGAGACTCGTATCCCGTGTCTGCAGTTGGTGGGTAGTAAATAGGAGCCGTGTAGCTATCCTGATACCCAGAGTCTCGGTAACTTGGCCCGTGGGGCCGTGGAGGCTGAATAACCTGTCTCCTTTCAGTCTCAATTGCCTCTCTGTCAATCATTTCATCACCTTTAAGTACATCCCCTCTTGGACCATTGAAATAATCCTCTCCAAATTTGTCTTGAAGACCCTCCCGGACGAACGACCATTCATCTGCTCCTCCTTTAGTTACCTGTACAGGTTTGGCCTTAGGCACGGCAACATCTTCCTGCAGGAGGCGAAGACTGGCCATGCAGTGTTCCTCAAAGGTTGCTTCGCGCAAGTCAGCCCGTTCGGTAGAATCATCATCTGCGTAAGGTATGTTAACACTACCGTGCAAAGTTTTTTCTTTCCTGTAAAATTTCGAGTTACCTGGTATCGGTGTATCAGTATGCATGTCCTGTTCGCCTCGGCGGTCCTTCACCATGTAATCAGAATTGTAAGGTAAGTCTTTCCGAAGGAGATCGACTAACTGTCCTACGTCACAAGGGTGGTTATTTCTTACTCGTACGATGTGTGCATAACTTATTCCTTTATCGCTGTTCTGACGAGCCGCATTTATAATACAACACTCCTCCGCAGCTACCAAACAATCAAATGCTACAGCTAAAATAAAGTCCTTATTTATTCGTCTTACTAAAGTTAACACACCATCTTTTGTTTCCGAAAATCCAACAAGCTTGAAAACTGAAGTCGCATTCTGCAGATGGGATTCGATTTTGCTTTGAAAAAATCCGGAGTATTTCTGAAATAAGAATTAAAAACATTAAAAGCAATGACAAATTTAAAATGAGATAACAAATAGGGCTGTCACAGGCACAGATATATTTAGCCCTGGCTATCCGATCATTACGCAGCGAGTATTTGACAGTATTTAGGGTATACAACAAAGGCGAGTAAGACATATGGGTAACGCAAATTGTATGGAAAGCCACAATGAATGCATATGTCAATTTATCGAAAGATTTCCTATATCTGTCACACAACCCAAGGAACAAATACCACATATCCTTTCACCCAACGGGCGGAAACACAATTACCAATATCAATATGGACGTAACGCCGTTTTAATTCTGATATAAGTTCACGATTCCGGATGTCATTTGCTGTCTGGTGGAACTTGTAACCATAAACGACATCAATGGCATCGTTTCGGTAAAAATGTCTATGACAGCATTACACAATTCAATTAACTTTCCCTGGCGTGAAGTTACTTCCCGAGTTACGTATCCCGACAGATTGTATCAAAACACGACAGTTTTATTTTGACAGCCTGTATACTACGTTAACAGTTTTGTATCTAATACCGATATTTTGTATCTTACTTTGACAAATTATCTTGACTTTTATTTCATTATCTTGCTTAGAATTATCTTACATAGACTATCTCCATCACGGACATTTTTTCTATCTCACCTTAACAGTTTGTGACAGTTTTCGTCTTATTTTGATGGTTTTGTCTTACATTGGCAGTTTGTATCTTAGATAGATTTATCTTACTTAAACAGATTGTATCTTACTTAAACAGATTATATCTTACTTAAACAGATTATATCTTACTTAAACAGATTATATCTTACTTAAACAGATTGTATCTTACTTAAACAGATCTTACTTAAACAGATTATATCTTACTTAAACAGATTATATCTTACTTAAACAGATTATATCTTACTTAAACAGATTATATCTTACTTAAACAGATTATATCTTAAACAGATTATATCTTACTTAAACAGATTGTATCTTACTTAAACAGATTATATCTTACTTAAACAGATTATATCTTACTTAAACAGATTGTATTTACTTAAACAGATTATATCTTACTTAAACAGATTATATCTTACTTAAACAGATTGTATCTTACTTAAACAGATTATATCTTACTTAAACAGATTATATCTTACTTAAACAGATTATCTTAAAACAGATTGTATCTTACTTAAACAGATTGTATCTTACTTAAACAGATTGTATCTTACTTAAACAGATTATATCTTACTTAAACAGATTGTATCTTACTTAAACAGATTGTATCTTACTTAAACAGATTGTATCTTACTTAAACAGATTATATCTTACTTAAACAGATTAAAAACAGATTGTATCTTACTTAAACAGATTATATCTTACTTATTATATCTTACTTAAACAGATTGTATCTTACTTAAACAGATTATATCTTACTTAAACAGATTGTATCTTACTTAAACAGATTATATCTTACTTAAACAGATTATATCTTACTTAAACAGATTGTATCTTACTTAAACAGATTATATCTTACTTAAACAGATTGTATCTTACTTAAACAGATTGTATCTTACTTAAACAGATTGTATCTTACTTAAACAGATTATATCTTACTTAAACAGATTGTATCTTACTTAAACAGATTGTATCTTACTTAAACAGATTTACTTAAACAGATATCTTACTTAAACAGATTGTATCTTACTTAAACAGATTGTATCTTACTTAAACAGATTGTATCTTACTTAAACAGATTGTATCTTACTTAAACAGATTGTATCTTACTTAAACAGATTGTATCTTACTTAAACAGATTGTATCTTACTTAAACAGATTGTATCTTACTTAAACAGATTATATCTTACTTAAACAGATTGTATCTTACTTAAACAGATTATATCTTACTTAAACAGATTGTATCTTACTTAAACAGATTGTATCTTACTTAAACAGATTGTATCTTACTTAAACAGATTGTATCTTACTTAAACAGATCTTACTTAAACAGATTGTATCTTACTTAAACAGATCTTACTTAAACAGATTATATCTTACTTAAACTGATTATATCTTACTTAAACAGATTATATCTTACTTAAACAGATTATATCTTACTTAAACAGATTGTATCTTACTTAAACAGATTGTATCTTACTTAAACAGATTGTATCTTACTTAAACAGATTATACTTAAACAGATTATATCTTACTTAAACAGATTGTATCTTACTTAAACAGATTATATCAGATTACTTAAACAGATTATATCTTACTTAAACAGATTGTATCTTACTTAAACAGATTATATCTTACTTAAACAGATTATATCTTATCTTAAACAGATTATATCTTACTTAAACAGATTGTATCTTACTTAAACAGATTATATCTTACTTAAACAGATTATATCTTACTTAAACAGATTGTATCTTACTTAAACAGATTGTATCTTACTTAAACAGATTGTATCTTACTTAAACAGATTGTATCTTACTTAAACAGATCTTACTTAAACAGATTGTATCTTACTTAAACAGATTATATCTTACTTAAACAGATTGTATCTTACTTAAACAGATTGTATCTTACTTAAACAGATTATATCTTACTTAAACAGATTGTATCTTACTTAAACAGATTGTATCTTACTTAAACAGATTATATCTTACTTAAACAGATTATATCTTACTTAAACAGATTGTATCTTACTTAAACAGATTATATCTTACTTAAACAGATTAAACAGATATCTTACTTAAACAGATTGTATCTTACTTAAACAGATTGTATCTTACTTAAACAGATTATATCTTACTTAAACAGATTATATCTTACTTAAACAGATTATATCTTACTTAAACAGATTATATCTTACTTAAACAGATTGTATCTTACTTAAACAGATTATATCTTACTTAAACAGATTATATCTTACTTAAACAGATTATATCTTACTTAAACAGATTATATCTTACTTAAACAGATTATATCTTACTTAAACAGATTATATCTTACTTAAACAGATTATATCTTACTTAAACAGATTATATCTTACTTAAACAGATTATATCTTACTTAAACAGATTATATCTTACTTAAACAGATTATATCTTACTTAAACAGATTGTATCTTACTTAAACAGATTATATCTTACTTAAACAGATTATATCTTACTTAAACAGATTGTATCTTACTTAAACAGATTATATCTTACTTAAACAGATTGTATCTTACTTAAACAGATTAATCTTACTTAAACAGATTATATCTTACTTAAACAGATATCTTACTTAAACAGATTGTATCTTACTTAAACAGATCTTAAAACAGATTATATCTTACTTAAACAGATTATATCTTACTTAAACAGATTATATCTTACTTAAACAGATTATATCTTACTTAAACAGATTGTATCTTACTTAAACAGATTATATCTTAAAACAGATTATATCTTACTTAAACAGATTATATCTTACTTAAACAGATTATATCTTACTTAAACAGATTATATCTTACTTAAACAGATTGTATCTTACTTAAACAGATTATATCTTAAACAGATTATATCTTACTTAAACAGATTATATCTTAAACAGATTATATCTTACTTAAACAGATTGTATCTTACTTAAACAGATTGATTGTATCTTACTTAAACAGATTGTATCTTACTTAAACAGATTGTATCTTACTTAAACAGATTATATCTTACTTAAACAGATTGTATCTTACTTAAACAGATTATATCTTACTTAAACAGATTATATCTTACTTAAACAGATTGTATCTTACTTAAACAGATTATATCTTACTTAAACAGATTATATCTTACTTAAACAGATTGTATCTTACTTAAACAGATTATATCTTACTTAAACAGATTGTATCTTACTTAAACAGATTATATCTTACTTAAACAGATTATATCTTACTTAAACAGATTATATCTTACTTAAACAGATTATATCTTACTTAAACAGATTATATCTTACTTAAACAGATTGTATCTTACTTAAACAGATTGTATCTTACTTAAACAGATTATATCTTACTTAAACAGATTATATCTTACTTAAACAGATTATATCTTACTTAAACAGATTATATCTTACTTAAACAGATTATTATATCTTACTTAAACAGATTGTATCTTACTTAAACAGATTATATCTTACTTAAACAGATTGTATCTTACTTAAACAGATTATATCTTACTTAAACAGATTGTATCTTACTTAAACAGATTATATCTTACTTAAACAGATTATATCTTACTTAAACAGATTGTATCTTACTTAAACAGATTATATCTTACTTAAACAGATTATATCTTACTTAAACAGATTATATCTTACTTAAACAGATTATATCTTACTTAAACAGATTGTATCTTACTTAAACAGATTGTATCTTACTTAAACAGATTGTATCTTACTTAAACAGATTGTATCTTACTTAAACAGATTGTATCTTACTTAAACAGATTGTATCTTACTTAAACAGATTGTATCTTACTTAAACAGATTATATCTTACTTAAACAGATTGTATCTTACTTAAACAGATTATATCTTACTTAAACAGATTATATCTTACTTAAACAGATTATATCTTACTTAAACAGATTATATCTTACTTAAACAGATTATATCTTACTTAAACAGATTATATCTTTATACTTACTTAAACAGATTTACTTAAACAGATTATATCTTACTTAAACAGATTATCTTACTTAAACAGATTATATCTTACTTAAACAGATTGTATCTTACTTAAACAGATTATATCTTACTTAAACAGATTGTATCTTACTTAAACAGATTATATCTTACTTAAACAGATTATATCTTACTTAAACAGATTATATCTTACTTAAACAGATCTTACTTAAACAGATTATATCTTACTTAAACAGATTGTATCTTACTTAAACAGATCTTACTTAAACAGATTGTATCTTACTTAAACAGATCTTACTTAAACAGATCTTACTTAAACAGATTGTATCTTACTTAAACTGATTATATCTTACTTAAACAGATTATATCTTACTTAAACAGATTATATCTTACTTAAACAGATTATATCTTACTTAAACAGATCTTACTTAAACAGATTATATCTTACTTAAACAGATTGTATCTTACTTAAACAGATTATATCTTACTTAAACAGATTGTATCATAATTTAACAAATGTATCTTACTTAAACAGTTTGTATCTTATTTTAACAAATTTATCTTATTTTAACACTTTGTATCTTACATTGAAAATTTCTATTTTATATTGACAGTTTGTATCTTACAATGACAATTTATATCTTACATTGTCAATTTATATCAAACATTGACAGTTTGTATCTCACATTGACAATATATATCTTGTATTGTGAATTTATATCAAACATTGACAGTTTGTATCTCACATTGACAATATATATCTTACATTGACAATTTTTTATCTTACATTGTCAATTTATATTTTACATTGACAATATATATCTTACATTGACAATTTATATCTTACATTGACAGTTCGTATCTTACATTGACAGTTCGTATCTTACATTGACAATTTATATCTTACATTGTCAATTTATATTTTACATTGACAATTTATATCTTACATTGTCAATTTATATCTTACATTGACAATATATATCTTACATTGACAATTTATATCTTACATTGTCAATTTATATCTTACAATGACAATTCATACCTTACATTGACAGTTTGTATCTTACATTGTCAATTTATATCTTACATTGTCAGTTTGTGTCTCTCTTTGACAGTTCGTATCTTACATTGACAATTTATATCTTACATTGTCAATTTATATCTTACATTGTCAGTTTGTGTCTCTCTTTGACATTTTTTTTATCTCATTTAAACAGTTTGTATCTTACATTGTCAGTTTGTGTCTCTCTTTGACATTTTTTTTATCTCATTTAAACAGTTTGTATCTTACATTGACAATATATATCTTACATTGACAATTTATATCTTACATTGTCAATTTATATCTTACATTGTCAGTTTGTGTCTCTCTTTGACATTTTTTTATCTCATTTAAACAGTTTGTATCTTACATTGACAATATATATCTTACATTGACAATTATATCTTACATTGACAATTTATATCTTACATTGTCAATTTATATCTTACATTGTCAGTTTGTATCATAATTTAACAAATGTCTCTCTTTGACATTTTTTTTTATCTCATTTAAACAGTTTGTATCTTACATTGACAATATATATCTTACATTGACAATATATATCTTACATTGACAATTTATATCTTACATTGACAATTTATATCTTACATTGACAATTTATATCTTACATTGACAATTTATATCTTACATTGTCAATTTATATCTTACATTGTCAGTTTGTGTCTCTCTTTGACATTTTTTTTTATCTCATTTAAACAGTTTGTATCTTACATTGACAATATATATCTTACATTGACAATATATATCTTACATTGACAATTTATATCTTACATTGACAATTTATATCTTACATTGACAATTTATATCTTACATTGTCAATTTATATCTTACATTGTCAGTTTGTGTCTCTCTTTGACATTTTTTTTTTCTCATTTAAACAGTTTGTATCTTACATTGACAATATATATCTTACATTGACAATTTATATCTTACATTGACAATTTATATCTTACATTGTCAGTTTGTGTCTCTCTTTGACATTTTTTTTATCTCATTTAAACAGTTTGTATCTTACATTGACAATATATATCTTACATTGACAATTTATATCTTACATTGACAATTTATATCTTACATTGTCAGTTTGTGTCTCTCTTTGACATTTTTTTTTATCTCATTTAAACAGTTTGTATCTTACATTGACAATATATATCTTACATTGACAATTTATATCTTACATTGACAATTTATATCTTACATTGACAATTTATATCTTACATTGACAATTTATATCTTACATTGTCAATTTATATCTTACATTGTCAGTTTGTGTCTCTCTTTGACATTTTTTTATCTCATTTAAACAGTTTTATCTTACATTGATATATATCTCTACATTGACAATTTATATCTTACATTGTCAATTTATATCTTACATTGTCAGTTTGTGTCTCTCTTTGACATTTTTTTTATCTCATTTAAACAGTTTGTATCTTACATTGACAATATATATCTTACATTGACAATTTATATCTTACATTGTCAATTTATATCTTACATTGTCAGTTTGTGTCTCTCTTTGACATTTTTTTTATCTCATTTAAACAGTTTGTATCTTACATTGACACATATATATTTGTATCTTACATTGACTCTCTTTGAATATATATCTCATTTACAGTTTGTATCTTACATTGACAATATATATCTTACATTGACAATTTATATCTTACATTGTCAATTTATATCTTACATTGTCAGTTTGTGTCTCTCTTTGACATTTTTTTTTATCTCATTTAAACAGTTTGTATCTTACATTGACAATATATATCTTACATTGTCAATATATATCTTACATTGACAATTTATATCTTACATTGTCAATTTATATCACATTGTACTCATTTAAACATTTGTATCTTACATTGACAATATATATCTTACATTGACAATTTATATCTTACATTGACAATTTATATCTTACATTGTCAATTTATATCTTACATTGTCAGTTTGTGTCTCTCTTTGACATTTTTTTTTATCTCATTTAAACAGTTTGTATCTTACATTGACAATATATATCTTACATTGACAATATATATCTTACATTGACAATTTATATCTTACATTGACAATTTATATCTTACATTGACAATTTATATCTTACATTGTCAATTTATATCTTACATTGTCAGTTTGTGTCTCTCTTTGACATTTTTTTTTATCTCATTTAAACAGTTTGTATCTTACATTGACAATATATATCTTACATTGACAATTTATATCTTACATTGACAATTTATATCTTACATTGTCAGTTTGTGTCTCTCTTTGACATTTTTTTTATCTCATTTAAACAGTTTGTATCTTACATTGACAATATATATCTTACATTGACAATTTATATCTTACATTGACAATTTATATCTTACATTGTCAGTTTGTGTCTCTCTATGACATTATTTTTATCTCATTTAAACAGTTTGTATCTTACATTGACAATATATATCTTACATTGACAATTTATATCTTACATTGACAATTTATATCTTACATTGACAATTTATATCTTACATTGACAATTTATATCTTACATTGTCAATTTATATCTTACATTGTCAGTTTGTGTCTCTCTTTGACATTTTTTTATCTCATTTAAACAGTTTGTATCTTACATTGACAATATATATCTTACATTGACAATTTATATCTTACATTGTCAATTTATATCTTACATTGTCAGTTTGTGTCTCTCTTTGACATTTTTTTAATCTCATTTAAACAGTTTGTATCTTACATTGGCAGTTTGTATCTTACCCTGACAGTTTTATACTCAGACTTCCATGGACTGTTAAGAATGAGTATGAGATAGATCTCCAAGTTCTGAAACGCCGATGACGCCTTATTCGGACTGAAGTATGGCATAGCAGCACTTTCAGTGATGATAGTGGCGAACTCCTGAAACTTGAATCTCTCGCTTGGCTTCGCGTTGTACAAGTGTTGCTGAATGTACTGTTTCGCCTGCTGCAGTGTATTGCAATTACTCTCCTCCTCATTGTCGGAACAGCGGAGTTCGGAGTACAACTCCTTGGCTTGAGACCGACTGTCCATTTCGCAACAGGTGATTACGAGGGAGAGTGTAAGAGGCAGGCCGTACCATGAGCTTTTTGAATGCGCTTGGGGCATTTCTCAGGGCAGGGGTCCCATCATCACGTAGTCCCTCACTGGTAGGTAAAAAAATAATTTGTATTATTGTCACATTCATTTCACGCATTCATCTGTGTTATGCCTGAAAAAGAAGGCTAGTTTTTATAAATTATGAAAAGGAAAAATGGAAAAGTAAATGGAAAAAGGTCTGAGAATTAGATAAAGCATCTAGGACACAACTTTGGAAACCAATGAGGTACAAGAACAGAGCCTATACTTTATATCTAACCATGTTGAAATTCTCACCCTTTTGAGGGTTTCCAACGATGTAATGTGCGCTAAATTATTGACATTATTGAAAACACAGTGAATATTCCTCGCACAATAAAATCTGCTTTTACTTATTAAGACTGTAAATTGTACAAGCCAACTGTAGTTGATTCTAAACTTTCAATCCTAACGTGACATTAGTTAACAGCAGTAACTTTTCGACCCTAAATTCTTAACCTTCTTTTGGTTAGTAGTTTTTCAAAAAGTTTCTCACACACGGCTTATTAATTGAATACTTGTTGATCAAAATAAGTGAAAATTCATCTAGAAACCTGGAAAATACTGTAAAGTGAAAGGACAGTTTTCCTGTTTTCTTAACAACCATGTTTAATATCTGTTGATTTCCCGTTTTCTCACGATAACCAGCATGCAGTGATTTTAAAACTAAACATGTGATTTCTTTAATAACCAAATCAGCATGCCATGACTCTGAAAAAAGACCAAGTGGTTCAGATCGCTTGAAAAAACATTGCCGAAAGTCCTGCACAAGTTTCGTGTTCTTGCAAAAAAATTAGTTTTTGTTTCTCCGAGGTCAAATTTTCAGGAAGTAACGGTAGGAAATTCCTATTCAGCAGGGATTTCCAGTAGCCTCAGTTTCAGTTTAATATAGCTATTTATATCCATACCAAACTGACGATGAACAACATTTTATATAAAAATGCATGCGCGCAAAATCTACTATAAACAACCTCCTAACTTACCGCAATTAGTTTTGCTTCAAAACAAATAAACAATTTATAAATGAGCTCAATCAATTCCTACTAATGTATGATTTTTTTATGTTTGGATGTTGTTTATAAACACTCCCAGTATATTTCAAATGTCGCCTCTGTGTACATGCATTTTTTATCTAAACAATATTTTATTTTTGTCAGTTTGGTAAAGATATAAATAGCTATTATATCGATGTTTAGTTAAATTTGCATAAACATGTGCCCCGACAACTAATACACATAGTCACCAAAGACCATACAAACGAGCTTGAAAATGAAACCCACCATTTTGGGTGAAAGACAAGCCTACAGCACGTTCGATGTTTAATTGAACGTTTTAAATTGTATCCTTTTACTTCTTGAATTTCAAATTTCATGAAGGAGTTTATTTTTTTCATAATTCAGATTACCACGTTGTTGTGGAAAATTATCGTTACAAATAAATAAGAAAATTGCACATGAAAAACTGTTTTAACCACAAAATTGTTGTCTACATAAATTTTCAACCCGAAAATCCGAAATCTTAAATGACTCAATGACAGTCTCTGAAAAAGAATAAAAAAAAGTTCACATTCAGCATAAAAACTACTCTGCCTATTTTTTTCCTGTTCAAATTTTTGACACGTATCTAATAAAAACAGGATATGAGGCCGACATAAATCATATTTCATTACCATAGCAAGTGTATACTTACATCACTTCTTACCAAAGCGATCATTGGTTAAGATTTAATTTCAGGCATTTGTCTCTAAAAATTCCCATTTTTTTTTTATAAATATCATCATCCATTTAAAGTAGATACAAAATATCTACGTTTATTGTACAGATTGCCGACTAAGTTTTATATCATTTTATTTATACATCTGGTTTTGTATTCAGCATGCTCTTTTTCAACATACTTCTGAACCGGATTTTCCGTTAATATCGACAAGTTACAAATACATAATATGTCTTTCTTGATAAATAATATCCCATATTTGTTATCTGACCTTACCTGTGTACCTTCCACAGACTTAAAAAGATATACAACTTTTCTATCTAATTAGTTTCAAGTCTGCTATTCACTTGCTTGTAATGTCTTTTTGACCTTCGGGCAGACGAGATAATATAAGGAAAAGCAGTTAAGTGTAAACTGAAAGCAGTAAAGGCGTACCTAGGTAAAAGTCCAACAACACGGTCGTTATAAAATTTATAAATAGTTTATACCAAGAAAATCTTAATAACCGATACATTTGTTCGGACCGTGGGGTTGGGAATTTGTACTTAGTTTCTATGTATGGTGTTTACAGCTGCTTTCTTTATGTTTGTCTTCATTCTGTTTTAGTTATCGTAATTGCTAAATAAAAGACAGTCTGTTTGGACAAATCTAGGAAAGCATCTCGTGACCTTCGTTCTCCGTCCCCATTTCCGAGTTCCTCTTCAGGATTGGAAATGGGGCCTCACTGCAATTTTCTGTCCGGGAAAGATTAAAGAATAATAACTGTAATGCGAGTCGATCATAAACTGCGATCAAATATGGCGGCTTCGCAGAATTCTTTATTCTCACACCTACGTATCTACATGTACAAACATAAAAAAATTACCATAGTGCCCATATATCTGTGATCTCTGTATTATGTCCATTCTCTTCTTACACCTATCTTTGTAATGACTCGTCAGTTATAGTCTACTAAAACCAAATAATCACAATAGTCCCTGTGTTAATTACCAATTCGTTTTAGATTACGGGAAAAAAATCTTCTTTATAAATTAAGACTCTAAATACAGAAGTAAGTGATCCAATGAAATTGTTTTCTGTATCTGTTAAAAATGTCTAAGCAAAAATAGTAAGGGGGTGGGAGTACGCGAGGTATTTTGCTATCTTAACCTACTTTTTTAAAGAAGATAATAACTGTAATTCCTTAATTTGTTCTCATTTTTTTCACTTGCTTTCAAATATCCCTATTTTATAATTATGTATAAAACTACAGTCTATAGAAGACAAATTAACAGCAGTATCAGGGGAATAGTGTCAGGCAATCGATCTTCCACGTTCGTTAGGAAAATCGGACCCCAGACATGTAGGTGAAAAGCGAATGCTTACTACTACTACGTCATCAACCATCCGACGTTAATAATTTACGCTAATAAGCTAAATGGATGACTTGATCATAATCGTTCTTATTCTTTAAGTTTTGTCTTGGTTTTTTTACACTTTAAAAATCTGAGAAATGGTATATTTGGTGTAGTATCTCAATTGTTTTATATATATATCTCTTATAATATCATTTTGTCAAATTAATCATCAAGGAGCTCAGCAAATGTTCTAGAAAAAATGTAATTTGAATACAATATAATCATGCAAAATCTACGGAAAATACTTACCGGGTACACAATTATAGGCGCAGTACAACAAATAATTGTGAAAAATATGATAAGTTAAAATAAAACTATGGTCCACATAATATCTATTCCGTCTTCTTTCCAAGCCAATCCTTCGAATAATTCATGGAACACGAACTGTATCTACTTGTAAACAAAAATTGGGATAAGATAAGTGTATAGTCACCTTTTAACACACTTTGTGTAAACTATATTACAAGCTTTACAGGTACTGTTTAAAAATCCCGAATGAGTATTCGAGAAGTAGAAAAAGCAGTTAAACAAGTTTTATCTCTGAATTACACAATGTATATAAATAAAGTTCATCTAGGACTATGTTTTACATGTTCACGTCTTGAATGTGGGAGTTCCGAACATGCATGATTCAGCTTATAGGTATCTGAATATATATATATACACAAGGTGTTATTAATAGCACAAAACTACGTATAATTAATAATGTGTAATACTTAATAATGTATCATACACAGTAAGAAATAACTGCAAAACGTGTTATGCATATACATATGATTGAATTGTGATAATTATATACGCAATAACTGAATTAAGGATTGGCGTAGTCCCGTGATCACTAATACGTTCGGTTGATCACCTATTGGTATACTCCAATATATTAATATGTTACTTTGCACACGATACGCAGTATGAGTGTGCATACTGTTTTTCAAATATTTGAATATTAATGCTTAATATTAACTACTGTTTGCATTACGGATATGTGTATATTGTATAGACGGAAGTATAATGATGTGAAAACCCTTCCCGGTTCAGTTTTTAACTCTATATTTGAACTTTTTATACGTCCTTGTAAACTTCCTGTACAAAGTATACTCTTACGGCTTAACGGAGCAAGCCAATTAGAAGATACACCGTGTTATCGTTGTTAATATAATAGACTTAATGGATAGAATTGTCGTGGTGTGATTTTACGAACATATGACAATACCAAGATAGTAAGAATTTACCTACCGAGGAACGAAACACTGCAAATGGCAGACGGATTCCAAAAATACTAAGGGGAATTCCCGTCGGGTTTTCCGCGTGTTATACACTACTGGTTTACAATAGTAGAAGCGAAGACGGAGTCCGGATTTTTTGTGTTCATACTGATTCGAAGTAGATCGTTATACATATTGCGATGTATTTTATCCACTACGTACATATGAATCACAATATTGTCCAAAATTCATCGAAAAACAAGTATTGATTAAAATGACACATTTTTCACCAAAGTAGAATTCTTAATTTAGCGTTTCAAAATTAAAGAACAGTATTTGTTTTATTCTTGAAATATTTTTTTTTTTACTGCAGTAATTGTTTAATTCCGTCATTAATCTGTAATATAACAAAGGGATACCAAAAGGACAAAAAGAATTCATGAATCAGATTCCGGAAATTGTGAAATAAATCAGAAAAAAACATAATTTTATAGTGTACTTTAACCAGAGCCATCCATACATCATCGTTACATTAACATCGTCGTCATAATAAAGGCATCAATCAAAATCATACTATATCATCATCATCATCATCATCATCATCATCATCATCATCATCATCATCATCATCATCATCATCATATGAACACATCATCGCCTTTTTGACCACCAATCCTCATTGTTTGTCATCATTAAAACACACGCATGAGCACTCTTTCACACCCACTTTTACGCTTAAAACCACACAATATGAAGGTAGACAAATTAACGTAGTAAAAATACAAAAACAGAGAGAGAAAGAAAGGGGTGGCAGAGTAAAGAAACAAGAAGTAGGAGGGAGAGAAATGGATGTAGATGAAATAATTGGAAAATTAGGAAAATATTCTATTATTACATACATACTATTATATTATTAGTGTATAATTCCTTATTTTTATTAATTTTTCTCACTTCTTCCATTCGTACACATTTTCTTCCTTTCACCATCTCCCCTTTATTACAAATGCCTAGACACTGAATTATATTTTGCACTTGACCAATTGCGAAGTAAACGTATGATAGTTTCCCTTTCAGAGTTACTAAAAGGACTATCTACTAGTTATGCTAGGATGCAATTTAATTTTTTAATTTAGAATAGTAGAATTTTGAAGTATTTGGATTAAAAAGTGATATTATTTCCCACATCTCTTCAAAGACTCCTCACAAACTTTCCGGTCATTTACCCCCCCCCCCCCCCCTCCACTTACACACACACACACACACACACACACACACACACACACATATATGTATATATATATACTTGACTCGTTAAATTGACAATTCGCTTGTCCGTACTTTTGCTATCACTTCATTGGTCATATATCTATCCCAGTAATACGCATCCAACGGATGGGCTAGGATCCAGTACCAATATTGGACCATACCGTCGATATGACTTACTAGATTATATATTAGTTTTGTCAAACATCCCTTTTCTCTTTAAGATTAGATCAAGAGAAGGAGATAATTGGATTAGTTCAAGATTTTGCTCGGAGAGTTAAAGGCTTCACGCAAAGCTTAACACTACAGATCTTCAACCTATGATACTGTAGATAGTTTGTTCATTAAATTTCTTTAACGACTCCTCGTCGTTATTTCTGAGCGATAACTCCTTTACCAGAAGTTTATACCAATCTTGGAAAAAAATTTCCTTATAGAAAATACATTTACTGTTATTTTTAGCTCGACAGACATTTTCATTCACATAATTGGCTTAAATCAGGCAATTTATTATTTTTTTTATTATTTTTCGAAACGATATCCATTTTCCAGATGATATAAAAATACTCCTGGTCTACCCAAGTTTTGAAATCGTTAATATACGGTTTAATCTGTATTGTTACAAGACTTCCTTAAAGATAAGTTTGAGTAGTTACCTCTCTCGCAATCTCATCTCTTAACCGTCCCATGCAGAGATGAAAACTACCGTGTCAAGCTTTTGAATAGGTAAGTACATCGTTTAGTTAAAATAATGAATAAGAAGATAAGATTAACCTAGTAAATTTGAACATTAAAAAATGGAAAACGTGTTGAATTTTTTTCATATCTAAAAACTATTGATATTAAACAAAGACGTATGCACAATAGTAATAGTTGTACGAATTACATATAATGCTGTACGGTGTCATTACAGTACGCTGTTAGGGACTTAATTGCATAAACAGGCACTCAGAGGTATGCACTTGTATATGGGCAAGAATTAGCTAATGTAACCCTAAGTGTGACATTGCAAGAAAAAAAAAATAAAAATATTCATAAGCCTACAAACTTTGTTTGAAGTATAACTGTAAATGGTGTCTTTCTATGTGTAACAAAAAAAAATCATTTTGAAACTTACTTCAGTTAAGAACAAAGAGAATTAATGAATTTAGAGCATGTAACATTGACACTATTCCCAAACTGAGATTGATGGAATTACATGTAATGTTGTACGATGTGATCATTACAGTACACTGTTAGGGACTTACTTGCATAAACAGGCACTCATAGGTATATACTTGTATATATATGTGTACACATATATGTTCCAGGTCCTCGACCCATCACATCTATATCAATACAAATATATGTGTGAGATAATACGCCTGAAATCCATTACTATTCTCAGAAAAGTACTAAGAATTGATCACTCCTTTCACTATTAGGTTAAAACCCCGGATATCCTTAGACAAGGATCTCATTAGTCCGTAGTCAAAAACAACAAATATCCCTTATAGTACAAGTATCCTGGCTTATAAGCGTATAACTTATGTGGGATCATGGAAAACAGACGTCCATTTATAATAAAGGGTACATCTTCATTTACCATAGTAATACTGCAATAATAGATTGGATAACTGAATTAAAGGAAATCTGTAAACAATTCTACTTCAACCCTTCAGCAAATCATTGCCCTGTATGTACGTGTAGGCAAAATTGATAACGATCTCCAAGATAGTCATTTCAGCATCAACTCTTAATGATTTTTATAAACAGACGTGATAAATTCTGGGGGAGAATAAAACACACTTCTGATTCAAAATCTGTGTATATGAATCATGATGCAATCGTCACAATTGTTGAATTATATTTGTGTTTCTATTATACCTGGTCATAACCGACACTATTATAGATCGGCACCTCTAGTACTGTATGTACATAGCTATATGTCATCGCCCGTGGGTAGGTCAGTGATGTATGTATGTACCAAGTCACAGATGTTTACCGTTAATACTGTAGATAATATTAGATATCAAACTTGGATAGCGTTTCAGGTCGATTATAACTTGGCCATATACAGTGTAGATACATACATTAGTATATGTTGTTATATTAAACGTCTCTTCCTCATGGAATTGATTCTTTGGTCGATTGTACATGAAAGGATCTTTTATAAAATTCCACGTTAGGTGAGATTTATAATATAATTCTTAAGTATTGTAACTTTAACGATTGTTTGGCTAGCTATTTTTGTTTTGTTTTAAGGTTTGAATAAACCTTGTATAAACCAAAAATGAATGTGATATTTATATTACCACACCATTTTTGCTTTTCGTTTATATCTAACTATTATTTGTTTTCTTTATTTCTTATATTTCCCTTGTTTTGTTTATGAAATGCATCATTCATTTTTTTCTATACACAATAAGTTCATTTTTATTTTACACTGGAAAGTCGTGCATATCAACATTATGTTATGACATCGAAATGGTCATATCATATCAGTGAAATTAGAAAAAGATGACAAGAAGAAAATGTGATCTAGAACCAGAACAGAATTTATATTCTGTGTAAAATAAACAAATAAATAATTCATAGTAATGAAGTACACGCTTTACATTCCGTGTACTAATTTGATAAAAATCAGTTTGTCTTGCAAGAAAGTAACAGAAAACCTTGTAGTCCACCAACAGTGTCTACCACCTTGTATCACAATCCACATTCATATTCAACTAACATATCCGTAACAAAGTCCTCAGGTACCGCAGAACTTTATTAAAACAAGAATGTTTAGGTTGACGCCATTTAGTACCAGCATACATGTGCAGTAGAACCATTTCATAGTGTATCCGAACCTTTATTCTTTATGTCTAGCAGACTTATCTCCCATTATGATGGTCTAATGGAACAATACAAAAATATTTGAGTTACCTCCCATTGTATCTGGGTCGTATCGATATCTTGATCGTTGGATCAGCTGCTTTAAGGATGATTATGATAAGCTTTCAATGTTTGCTTTGGGGAATACAGGTTGAAGTACACAGAAAATTTGCTTTTTCTAGGCAAAAATAGTTTGATCTGGTCGTAAACGGTAAAAAGATAAGTGAGGAGAATAAATCAAATATTGGTGACAGGTTGTGATGAGTAAAGCCTCTACATTTACCGACAAAAAATTCTGGGTGCGATGAAGCATAGTTGGAATGGTGATTGGCTATGCCTGTGGTGATAAGACATACCATGTAAACGTCCGTCCGCCCATCCGCCCGTTCGGTGTATTTACAGGACTAGATATATCCTTTCAACGCAGAAGGCTTGCCAAACTGCTTCGGAATAAAATGATAAACGGTGATGATTGTACATTTTAACTCCAAGATAGAAAATTATGGTCATTGCCAATTTTTGTCTAGAAACTGTCCGACGAATAATTAGATTTAAATAGTATGATACTAAGTAAAATCACGTGATTTGCTACTATGAAATTCTGGTGAATTAGATACTAATGTGTCTGCCAAGGGTTATTCACCTAAGGAGCTGCAAGAGCATCGGGCAATTTAACCTTAGGTAAAATTACGACCCCTACCCAGAACAGGTTCGTGTATCTCCGGCAGTTGAGATCACCGATTGTTCTGTACTATTGTGGTTGTGCCATGGCAAGAACTTTCCCGAGTTTGTTATAACTTAATGGCATGTGGTTGGCTTTTCGCACGTTTTTCAATGAACTAGCAATTAGCTGGTCTACAACAAGGATATCTTGCCTCAAAATGACACCCCGTGTCTGTTGTTGGGGGCGGTAATGAATCCAACAACCAAACTACACCAAATAGAACAAAATCTCACTTATACGAGAGCTAATTGATAAGTTGT